AATCATATTCATGGACCATCTGCTGATTTGGCGAGCATGGATCAAACTCACAAAACAGCCCTGCTAACCTTTTAAGTACAAAATAGTCTGGCTTAACTCTGCTAGCCCAGAAGTGTGTGTGTGTGTGTGTGTGAGAGATTGTATGGATATTGGATAATACTTAATTTAGATCCTCCAGGCTGCTCATGCCATATTCTGTTTTATCGGGATCGCTTTGGTAGCCGATCGGGGCCTCGTGTTTGAACAACTGAGCAAATACGCGCCGCCCGTCTGACAACAAGCTGAGCGACGTCTTGGTACGAGGAACCCGATTAAAACGAGTTTATGTCCGTCGCCGCGGTTACGCGCATTTCACAGCGCAACGCCGCACACTCCCACCTGGTCGCCAAAGGCTTTACAGGGGGTAGTGGGGGGGGGGGGGGCCTCGCCTCGCCTCGCCTCGCCTCGCCTCTCGAGTGCGATGAAACGCCTCTCCAGCAGGCCCCTCCGGTCGCCTCCGACAGCTGATTTTGGTGGCGAAACCCGGCGCGCGCTTTTTCCCCACCAACTGGGGGAGCATCTCCGCTGGGGCGCCCTCGTTGCGCGGGAATACTTATGTTCGACTCATTCCAAACAAAGCTTACGCAGATTGAGAATTCATATGCCAGAGGTAAATCCGAGTTAACACGGATTTATACTGGCACCAGTTAAAGGACTAGAGTTTGTAATCCAGGTGGCCGAGGGATTTCACCGTACAGTGGCAAAAAATCACTTAAAACTCTCCCAACATCCTAAGCCACTGAGCTCAGCGAGCAGACAGATTGTTCAGAATTGATGACAGCACAACTACATCAGAGCTGGACTCTCTGTTTGTTTGCACATGCATGCACGCCTGTGTGTGCGTGTGCATTTGTGTGTTTCCCGCGTGCGCATATGTGAATGTGTTTGCTTCCTATATACACTCTCGATTAGTACTAAACGGGCTCTTTAGAACGAGACCCCGACAGATTGGTGCTCTTTTGCTTCAACGTGGAGGGGAGGTGTGCTGGGAATTCTCTCTGCATCAACATCAGCGGCTCGAGGAGAAAAACAGCAACCTTCTGTGAGCGATCAAAGTGGCCAAAACGTCCACATAATCAATGTCTTGAACGATCACCACATCCGGTACATTAAAGATAATGGAAGGAAGAACAAAGCGCGCGCGTGTTTGGGCCCGTGTGCACACGCGTGTGGAGGACAGAGCAGCACAGATAGAGTGGACTTGTTTAATGACAGGAACAGCTGACTCATTTAGGGGGAGCAGTGAAAGGTAATTAACCCTGGGAAAACTACAGCTGCCATGCGAGCTGTTCACTTCAGCGCAATCTGATTAGGAATCACCGCTCGAGTCCCTGACTCCTTTCAGGCGCTGTGTGTTCGAGGTAAACTTTTGCTTCTGCCCCAGAGAGCCGCCGGAGCGCCGGAGACCTTAGCTGGAACGGTTACTACGTTTCTCCAAATTGCAGGACCACCTGGTAGCATTTATGCAACCTCCTCCATGAAAGGGCCTCCTTGGGCAGGAACAATGAGCGGGATTACTCCGCTCATTGTCACACCGGGGCTGGAACTTCTTTCTCCCCAAACACCTGTCCCCCTAAATTAGACAGGTTTGAAAAGGAACACGTTCGTGACAGAATTCAGAAGAGTGGTTTCGGCGGATTGGAGACTCGCCAGCGGTCGGATTGCCGGCCTCTCCGTTTGTTCCTGCTTTTGTTTATTATTATCTGCTGCATAAGATAATAATTCTATTTGCCTCCATATTTCTGGTGTCGCCGATTGGATTGAATAAAACAGCACGTCGCCCGGGCGCCTTTCATGCGACACGGGAACTAAAAGCACCAGAAATTTGGTCAAAAACAGAAATTGGCTCTTTGATGTCAGAAGAAACAATCTGGACTCGGTGCCTTTGTGTGTCTTCCGTCTCCAGATGAACTCAATTTAGAGGGAAGGCTTCGGGGTGACTTTGGAAAGCGATTACAAGATTCATAAATCACCGCGGCAAAGGTGTCACCATCTGACTCTTTTATGGGACGCTTGCTAACTGCGTCCAATAACAAGTTTCCCCTGTAGTTCTGCCATCACAACAAATCATTGAAGCGATAGCGGCAAGCCAGCCTCCTAATTGTCTGTTAAGGATTCTGTGAGCTGTGTTCTTTTATTGAAGCATCTCTGTCTCGGAGAAGCGATAAGATGCCAATACGCTCCTCTATAAAAGTACTCTTTGGCAAAAGGCACAAACACTTTGCTTGGCCGTCGGGGGAACTGTGAGGCTGTTATATCTGAAATCGCAGTTGACTTCAAGATTTTTGAATCCAGAAACCTCAGACGGGAGGATTGCTCGGAAATTGCCGGCAGAATCCTTTTTTTTAATTCTTTTATTTGAAATTCTACACAGCACAGAGAAATATATTTTCTGTAGAATTTTAGATTCTACTGAACGAACCCATCTTAATATTTAAAGTATCAATGAGGTTGATTCATGAAGACTGTTCCCTTGATTTAATTGAACAAACGTACATTTTTCCAGCAGAGAGCTCATTTTCTTACCCTCAAATTCACTATAAGGGTAACCGATAAATAAACATCGTGAAATGAATAAAAGAAGATTTTATGCCAAGTTTTAGAAATAAATTAGACGTCCTAGAGCTCTTTTGTCTCCTCCCCCCCTCCTGAAATACATCTCAGCCATTATTCTAATGTCCAGCTGGTATTTAGGCGCAGGGCGTCTGATGGCTCCCTGGCCACCTCACAAAAAAAAGACCAAAAAAAAAAAAGAAAAGTTGTTTATCTAAATGGCCTCTGAACAGAAGTTGATTTTAATCTCCGAGCAGCTCCGTCTTCTCACCGCGAACCTATTTGCATCTCTATGGGAGAAAAAAAAAGAGGCACAATCGAGCCGCCCGCTCGCTGCACACAATTCTACCTGCTTTCCCCAGAACGGGAGCACAAGCAGCTCACCTTTTGCCCTCCCGCACCCCCCCCCCCCCTCAACCCAACGGGGTGAATGTAAACCATGATCAGCTCGCTGCATCCTCAGACATTCATTACAAGCACATATGAAAGTTAAAATAGGTGCCCCCCCCCCCACCCTCCTCGCCGCTCGCTCTTTATTATACACAAACAGAAAACACTTAGCGTGTAAAATTAATGTGAAAATTATTCCCGGGGTAAACTATAAACACAGAAGTTACCCCGCACATTTACCCTTTTTTTCCTCCTTCCCCTAGATCAGAGTGTAATTGCCAGTAATCAGGTCTGTTTGCTGCTGATAAAACCACTCTGAATGCGAGGAACCCTCTTTGTGTGATGACTCAATTATGCCAGAAGTGGCTCATCAAACCTGGCCCATCAGCTGCTTTAATAAATAAGGAGGAAAACTTGCTGCAGGCGCATTATAATTCCATTCATTCCATAATTAAATCAATTCCAGTTTTAACCCTTCACTCAGTGGGCTTCTGGAGGAGGAAACAAAAACAAGGAGAGGGAAGGTGGAGCGGGTGGAGGGGGGAGGGGGGGGGGGGTGATGCACAGCAGACAGTGACCTTGCACAGAGCTCCCATCCGCTCCCTGTGATTCACAACGATACTGTTGAGGAAAGGTTAAGAGAAAAAGGAGGAAGATGCGCCTCCTTTTTTTTTTTTTTTTTTTTTTTACGTATGCATTGTTTGCACAAACAGCCTTAGACAGTAATTATATTAAAAGAGTAATCTAATCATAACAGTTGGTTGGTTGAGCGTGCAGCACTGACATTTTGAAATCTTATTTTGTGTAATCTCATTTGCCTGCATCATCTCGCCTGCACCCCTCTATCTAAAGCAAATGTAAATAATGTAATTAATTTTATGGTCTCCTTCTTGCTCTGCGACTGTGGCCTCGCTTTATTGGTTCCAGGACGAGGTATCGGCCCCACTGAGTTTTTTTTACTCCATCACAATAATGTCTGCGTTAATTACATGAGAGCGTCCCAAGTGCGCGGATAAGCTGGGAACAAGAGGACACAAAGACTCAAGGTCAGCGATGAATATCCACGGCAGCTGCACGGCATTAATACGGCATCATATGAAAATAATAATAATAGCATCACTTATAACAGCGGCAAAGAAAGAGGGGTGTTTGGAGTGATGTCAGGAGAGACTTCCTCTTGGATCCGGCCCCTCTGATAATGGCGCGAGGCGATGGTTATTCATGACTGGCGGACTGGGAAGGTCCCTTGTTTTTTTTCTCTTTTCCTACCCCCAGTCGCGGCCCACTCTCCCCCCCCCCATACCCTCCCCTCTGCGGTGGGAACGCCGGCAGATGGGGTTAGGGGGGAACCGGGCTGGGCTCAAGGACAGCCAGCAGCCAGATTAACACATACGACATCTCATGGACCCTCAGCATCAGGCCGCCTCCGTCACCCCCCCTGAGAAATCTGCCCCAGACGCGAGGAAAAGGTTCCCTGAGAAGCTTTATTTGCGTTGGACTCCGGGTGTGTGTGTGTGTGTGTGTGTGTGTGAGGGGGGGACGGGGGGGGAGGCGCATAAATATGATTCAGCAGATGACGAACCAGCTCAAATAGTGGAGAGTCTTTTTTCATATGCTAATGAAGCTGAGTGAATAACCCTCACTCCCTCCTCCTCCTCCTCCTCCTCCTCCTCCTCCCCCCCCCACTTTTGTTTTTCCGGGGAAGCGCTCTGTGAGCTATAATTAAGAAGATGTTGCTTTTTCTTTTTTTTTCTGCTCCAAAGCTAACAGAAATAAATAATTCTATAATAAGATCTGTGGAGTGAAGAGGCTTAATGTACTCATTGTGTTCGGCCTTGTTTTCCCTCTTGGATGTTTTGTATTAATTAGAAGCAGGCAATTTGATCTCTGTCAGGCAATCAATTTGCATCGTGTTCCTTATTCCGTGTAAAGTATTTTACGCCCTTTTCACATCCACGTCTCGAGGTTGCAGAAATCTACTAACCTGCAGTGCAACTGTGTTTTTTTTTGTGTTACAGATGATGAATTACATGATCACCTTCTGAGAGACTACAAGTGTGAAAGCATCGACCGGCGCGGACAGTTCGGAGCTGGAATCTCATCCTACGGAGCGCTCGGAAAACTACCGTCGAAGGTGAATAATCTGTGTGTCACTGCTCCTTCGGCCACAAACCGAGACGCTTCCTTCACGCTCAGACTCACGTTGCTGAGTCAGGTCAGGTTGTCTCATGAAACCACGATATAAAGATCAGAGACATCTGCTACAAGGTCTTTAAAGCACCGATTAGGTCAAAAACAACACGCAAGTTAAACCTGCTCTAAACATACTGAGTCGTTTCTGTTCTGATCGAACGAGCGCGTTCTCTACAACCACTTTGTGAATAGTTGGCAAAGTGAAAATGCCAGAAAAACGATCGCCGAGGAAACAGCGCTGAGATACAAACACGCATTGTTTTTTCAGGTATAAAAATGAAGTCATTACTTCACTGCAAAAAAAACAGTATTATTCTTCATATCCGAATTTACACTCAGTGATTATGTCATTATGCAAGTTATTATGTTCAAATAAGACTTTTTAAATAAATATGATATGATACTTACCAGTAAGTGTTTATAATTCTACATTTATTACTTCCTATATAGAAACATATTTTACTCATTCAAGTTTACACTCCGGTTTCCTCTTATTGTTGCGCTGGGCCTTATTTGTTATTAATACTAAATGCTAAAGTAAATTCTTTATTTCATTGATCTACACTAAATACAACGATGTGCAAATATTCTCCCATGAGGACTTTCGTACCACGATTATTAAAAGGTTTTTTGTAAAAGGCCTCATTCGTATTGTGTGGTGAAAATCAAATAAGAGCTCTCGTTTGACCCTGAATGCATCTATTTGTTCTGCTTTTGTAAAGACACAACGTCACATGTCTGTCCAACGCCGTTGCCATGGCGGCACTTCCTGTCAGCGAGCCGCCGGTCTTCTTCTTCTCTTGTTTGTTGCCACTTCTTGCCGCGGGAGGTCCGTGTACAGCAGCCGCTGCTCCGTCAGAACGCACGTCATCGTCATGTCGCCGCGTAATGATGTACACGAGATGTGAGACTGAGTCCGCGTGGTTGGGCCGACTAAACAGACTATTATTTAAAAATATACGTATGTATAACAAATAAAGCATTGTGTTATTGTTATAAAAAATACCTTAATTAATTCAGAGAAATAAAAAAAAAAAACACATTGATGTTTACTGATAAAATACAGCTTTTATAACGTTTACGGGAAAAACTTCTAAAATGTCAAAGAAAAGCACCTAATAATGAGCAGTCAGTGGTGATATTTGGGTTTGCTGATAACATCATTTGAACTTTGATTAATGTCCATGTTACGATCTCAGGTTTCAGGGCGTAAGAGCAACGTTTTGCCTTCCGAACCACAAATTCATAGAAAATGTTGAAACACGTCTGTGTGGAAAAGTGTTGCAGACTAATGAGGCACATTGGTTTTTACGGAGCGTCATCCACAGTGTTTGGGAGTTGTTTGTCTCGATAGGCCGTCGTAATCAAAAGTAATGAACCTATTATGAGCAGGACCTCTGAGGGCCCGGCGTGGCATTAAGAGTGTGGCACATAAAAGGTTTATTAAAGGAAATTAAGGTCCATCACTGCCACACCTGCTCCCCTATTATAAATGTATGACAGGTCAGTGCCTTCAATCACAACAGCAAACGAGAGAGAGGAGTCATGTTTCCCATTACCAGGGAAAAGTAACAGCATATCCTATGACTCACAGATTTCACTGGCCTGTGACCACTATACGCCACCATCAGCCTGGAATAATTATGTTTAATAGGTTTTATTTGGGAGCCACAAGCAACAGCCAGCGAGAGTGGATGTGTTTTAGCAACTATTTCTGTCCAAACACACACATGGAGGTGCTGTCTGCACTTTAATGTCATTATTTAGTGTCATTACATCTGTGCTCACCTTTGAAACTTCTTTTTTTTTTGTTTTTTATAGAGCTAGAGTTCACGTGTTTGCATATTGCTTTTGTTTTTAGGAGCTCTGTGTGATGTTGACTAAAAGGCACAAATCGATGAATAAAACTCTATGTAAATACACATTAAACACATTTGAAATGTGCGTTATTTTACAGATGGATTCTGAAGGTGAGGAGCAAACCCTGAGAACGAGGAACGGTGACACAGGTGAGAGCAGCTTTTAACCAAACACACGCACACGCACACACACACACACACACACACGCGTGTTCCACTTACCGCCGTGGTTAAGGGGGATCGGTTCAACAATCCAACTTTATATCCGGCAATTTCACGCATTATCTTACTGGTCTGAAGAGCTCCGCACTGCTGTTTCATTATTCAGAGGGGAATAACTTCATTAAAATTGGAACAGTGGCTCAAATTAGTTAAGGAGTGTGCACACACACACACACACACACACACGTATATATATATATGTGTGTGTGTGTGTGTGAAAACCTCTAGACGTGTCATTACGCGAGTGATCGGGGCCTCGGAGGCCGGCCCGCTCGCTGCGTCCGTTTTACTGGTTGCGCTTCACGGGGAGCAGAGCGAGAACCTGTGAGATTCACGCCGGCCAACCGGGGAAAAAAAAAGAAAAAAAAAATGGATCCAGCCTTTTCAGATCCCGTTGTGAAAGAGCGAGCTGGCGTCGGTCTCCCCGGAGGACGAGGCGGACTGAATGGAAAGCGTTTGGGATCAATGGCGGGGGCCACTCCTCCGTCCTCGTGCTGATTGTACCCGACGGCGTCGTAAAAGAGAGCGACGGTTAAAGGCGGCGTAAAGCGGCGCCGGCCCAGGTGGCATCGTCCCTAAATCATTAGCTACAAAACAAACATTTACAGAGAATTGTAAAACTTTCATTAGCGAAATCACTCCAAAGAACGGAGCGCCGGCTCGACACTTTGCTGGAGAACATGTCGACAGATGCTCGTGCCGCTGTGCTGGAAACGTAAACACCATGTTTCATCTCTTCTTTTTTGGGGCCTTTATTTCGCAGGATCGGCCGACCGCGTCGCCGAGACTCACAGGTGAAACTTTGCCACGTGAATTCTCTCATCTTCATGCCAAAATGCAAATATTTTCCTTGTAAGCCGCCTCCGTAAACAGCAGTCTCACGTTTTAACGGCCTTCACCCCCCCTCAGCCCGTACGGCTCCGTGGCGAGGAAGAGGAGCGCTCAGGAAGGGGTGCAGGGCGCCCCCGTCAACAAGAGAAAGTCCCTGCTGATGAAGCCCCGCCACTACAGCCCCAGCGAGGCATGTGAAGAGGAGAGCGAGGACCTGGCACCGCCGCAGGACAAAGAAGAGCCGAGGAACATTGACACTCCAGCAGGTAAACAGATGTCCTGTTGTTTTGTCTGTTTTGATGAACAATTGACGCTGAATTTTAAAATCCCATCTGTTGCATTCATATTTCCCCTCCCTCTGCCGGCAGCCAGCCGCCGCAGTCATTGTGCAGTGGGAGTGAAAGACGGCGCTGCCGGGTCCACATTAGTTGTGTCTCACGTCCACGAATTGAAGTTCTGACAGCTGATCTGCCATGATATTTTTTGGCCGTGGCTTCAGCCTCTTTTGACGGGGCCAGATTTCGGACCCCCCTCATCTGTCCGTTTTCTCAAAAGCCCGTCCAGGAGCCGCTGAATCCGCAGAGCGAAGCGGTGAATGAAGGGGGGGGGGTGCACCCGTTCACTTTGATTCAAATTAAACTTCCTCTGTTCCTTTAAACCAAATTAACACTGAACTTTCCTATTGTGGGGAGCAAATGAGGCGTCGACGCTGCGTTTTAACGTTCAGCCCTTTTTTTCTTCTTTTCACTAAACCACAACAAACAGGAAAGAAAAAACATTTCATCAACACCAGTTAAAGCATTTTTTCTGCTTTCACTCCTTTTCAGCCAGCGAAATGTTTGCTTTTTTTTCCTAATGAATTGAATTTTGTGCATTTTGGCAACAATGTTTGAGGTGTACATGTGCATTCTCACCCACTATAATCTGCACTGATTTGGTATATTTTTAACGATGTAACTAAGCAACAAACGTAATTGTCCCTTTCAAAAGCTTTTGTTAGGCCCTCTAACACAGTCTAATACATAATTAGGCATAATGTCTACAGCTCATTATAGTACACATGTGTGTAGTTAAATGGACCAGGAGAGTAGCTCACTGAATTGTGTGGATTCATTGGAAATGGAATGTATTTGTTTCCTGGGTTCATATTACGTTACAATTATCCAAGTAATTCACTGTGCATCATCAGTTTCTCCCTTTGTTGTGGATTCTAGATACCTTTTATTTTCATCATCCCGCGTTGATTGACAGCTGTATATTTCCCTTATTTGAACCTGATATCCCGCATTAAAAACAAAATGCCGCCAGAATAAATAGAAAGAGACTAAGAGTGTCAAATGAACACGCGTATTGATAAACAATTTCAGAACATATTTTGCTGTTATTGTCAGATTTGGGGGCCATTTTCTGCTAAAAAAAAAACAAAAATTGGACGAGCAGACTGGAGGCAGGGAGATTTTTCTTTTCTTTTTTTTTTTTTTGCTTTGGGAAGCTGGTTATATCTGCATTTTAACAAAAAAGGGAGAGAAATAAGCCTCTCGTTTGGTCGAGCCACACTGCGTCCGGCTGCAGCCAACTGCAGGCCTGCTGCAGAGTGCCGGTAATGGCTGTTCTGGAGTACAAACTGTTCACCTGTTCCAACACGCAAACCACCGCGGGGATCCAAGTTTTTTTCCTCCCTCTCTTTCCTTTTTTCACCGCACTTCTGCGTCTCTGCGCCGGTGTGTGTGTGTGTGTGTGTGTGTGTGTGTGCGTGTGTGTGTGTGTGTGTGTGTCGGGCCGTTGAGTCCATCTGGATGAAAAACAAAACCCTTGTTGCTCGACTCGTAAATGTAAATACGCGTAACTGGCTTTCGTTTTTAGCAGGAATTGTCTTTACGTGCAGCCCTTTTCAAATGTTCTTTCAACTGCATTTATACACATTTAAAAAAAGAGAATAGTGTGTCTTTTTTTTTATCACCGGGCCACAGGATTCGTTAAAGCTCTTTTGGAGAGGATTAAGTTCTCGTGCTTCTCCCACTAATAATAATAATAATGATAATAATAATAATGCCTCCGTATCGTCCTTAACATGGTGTGATCTGATTCTCACAATCCATCAATCTATCCATCTTCCCAATCTATCCAATATCTGCTGTCGGGCCACTTAAGAGGATCTGGATCCAAAGTGAGAAAAACCCTCACAGGCCAAAGAGCCTTAATCGAGCAGAAGTTTCATGCTTTTGGAGGATCATGGGAGATTTTGTCGAATCAATCCAGATGTTAGCCTCCCATTGTTAATCACCGAGCGTGACTTAATGTAAGCAGTGCGGTTGATAAAGTGATGTTTCGGATGCACTTAGCGTCCCACTAACCCTCTTTGTCTGTTCCACTGATCAGGTTTTTATATTCGCACAGATTTCTGGATTTATGCTAAAAGACAGACAGCAAAAGGTCAGAGGGCAAATGATGTTATCGAGAGCACTCAGTCAAATAAGCTGGAGACGAGAGATTATATGAAATGACTAATTAGTGAGACGTTTAAGAAGAAATGCATTTGTATTTCATTAATCTCACTACATGTTTTCTTAAAAGCTCAATAGTGCGGAATTGAGGGATTTCTCATACTTTTCTAAAACAAGGGATTCAATCATGTACTAATTATTTCCTTTATTTTAATGATCTGTTGGGTTTTTAATACATAAAATAAATGAATAACTATTTGCCAAATTTAACTGAGCAAGATGCCCACTTTTTACTTTCTGCAGTTTAAATCTGTAAAAGCTTTTTTTTTGCAAACTAAAAATTGTCTCTTAAAAACCTCGACAATCCCAAAATTTTCGTGTCATATTAAAGCTGCATTTCAAAAGATCTTTCAAAGCTTCTCGTCACTATTTTCTTAAGTTTCTGTGAATGAACCTCTTGCTGTCTGCAGCGTTTGGAAGCAGAAATCATTGTCGTCTTTTGAGGTGTGTAGTTGGCTTCTCCTGAAGCAAATCCCGCCGCGCAGACAGCAGCAGCTAACGGAGATTTCCCTCTTTCATCCTCATGTCTGTAGTTTCCTCCGTGTGTGTTTTCAGGAATCCTCTTCCCTTTCCGGGTCCACGTCTCTAGAAACAACAACTATGTGTTCTTACAACCTGTTTTCTTGTGCAGCAACACGTTGCTCTTTGGTTTCGCACTTAAAAACTACACGTACTTAATGAAGAGGAACTGAGTGGACAGTAAATCCTTATGTCATCTTCTCCTGAATCTACATTGGGTTGCTGCTCCAAATCGGAGACCCAAGAAAGCAATCGTGTTTCTCATCTGCAGGTTTCATGTTCTCCTCGCAGGAGGACAGAAGGGTCATACGTGTTTTCCTAAATATACTCGAGGAATTGCTTGGAAATCTTGCAGCCGTATGATAATTCTATTGCAACATGTGTTCTTTTAAATCCTCTCGGTTATTTAAAACAACATGTTTTTCTCAATAATGTTTTTGTAGAAAAGTAACACAGAATCTTAAACCTTTAAAGGCTTTATGGAGGATTACGGTCGACATACAGTTCTTATCGCGTGTGCTCGAGGGGTCACAAAAGAACACGTTTGCTCTGTTAAACACATCAAACAATAAAAAAGAAATCTCGTTCTTTCAGATGGGAACTTATGTGCCATCAATGGAGTCGCCTACAGAAACGGCTACGACGCCGAGTCCAGCGACTCCCTCGGGTGTTCAGAGGTCACCTCCGACGGCGAGCCGGACGCCGGCGACGAGGAGCTGCCCGACAGCGAGAGGGACGACCAAACTGAAGACCTGATGAGCGGCGCGTCTTCCCTCCTCAGTCCTTACCGAGACCCCGGGTAGGCCGAGTGTGAGCCGCCGCGTCTGTCCCGCTGCAGCCCCCCCGCCGCCACGGAAGACCCGTCGGGGCGGGAGCGGCCCGCGTGAAAGGCGGAGCCCCGCTCGGAGGCGGGGCGGCCCGGCGGGCCTCCTTCGGGGCGAGGCGCTGCTGAGGTACAGGCCGCTGCCGCGGAGGAGGACGGCGAGGGCGAGGCGGAGGCGGAGAGGCCCCCCCAGCCGGACGGATGGGGCCTGGGCCTCCACGAAAGAGGGCTGGAAATGGGCCGAGGGAGGGTGAACTTCAGCCTGTTGGAGCAGGCCATCGCCCTGCAGACGGAGCAGAGGCAGGTTCTGCACCACGCCTACAGGGAGATGGACCGGTTCCTCATGGAGCAGATGACCAGCGAGAGGAGGCACCACAGGATGATGGACATGGACGGCAGACTGAGCTTCCACGGAGGCAAAGGTAACGGCGCGGACGCGGAGACGGGAGCGATCGCCTCCCCTGCTGGAAGAACCAGACGGACCGCTGGTGATTTGGATGATTTGGTGCTCAGAAAAACACCTTAAAAGGAATAAAAGAGGCAAATGAAAGAGAGCGGGAATCAAAAGGGAGGAAATCCTCTTAAGTACTAAAACATTTTGGCAACAAGTGAAGTAATAAATAGACTAAAATAAAGAAGAATACAATTTTCCGATTGGAATTGCGACTACTCAGAATATTGGATTTTGATAGGAATCAAGTGGATATTTAACCATGAGCATAAGTCTTAAATCCTCCTAAAGTACCGCTCATGTTTCCCTCGGATTCTTAAAATCACTGCAGCTAAATGTGTAATCCCAGATGTAATCTTTCGATGGATGGGAATTAAGAAGTGAATGTTGAACTGCAGTCGTAACTAAAATGGCAGATTAATAGATGCATTTTGTGTGTAAAAAAAGAGTTCTTTGCATGATATTTCAATCTGTTGACATATGGACGATGTGTACCAAGAACACACTTTAAGACGGGAGTGATTCGGCACACAGCGGCTGTGTTATTTCCACTCATTGTGAACTCTTTTGTCCTCAGATTCCCCCCGCACAGATAAAAAGGACATAAAGTGTCCAACTCCTGGCTGCGACGGCACCGGTCACGTGACCGGCCTTTACCCGCATCACCGCAGTCTGTCCGGGTGTCCTCACAAAGTCAGAGTTCCCCCAGAGAGTAAGTGATGATCTATTTAGTCAGTGAAAGGCCTGCTTATACATTCAGTTCCATTCAAAAGATGTGAATGAAACTTTTAAAACAAAACTAAGAATTCTTCTCCCTTAATGTGCTGTAATGTGTGAATACTGAGTTCTTTTTTCCTGCCCGTCGCATTGCCGATTGTCAAGTCATTTCAATGTAACTCAACAAACATTCAACATTAAACAGTAATGTTACAAAAGGAACAGAAAAAGTAATTAACTTTTTTCAAAAAAAGCGCGTGCTCTTAAACCGGAGGCAGTATTTGCAAATCAAAGGGCTCCACGACGCAGCATTGAAAAATAAATAGACAACTCCAACTAACTAATTGGAGAACACGTAGAGAAGAGAAGTTTCTGAGGATACACAGCGGGCCTTTAGCGCCGCGTTCGTTTTGAAGAATATAATCGGCCGCCTTGTTGCGCGCTAAGCTATTTACATTTGAGGCACATTACAGCGTTCCTCACAAAGCCTTTTGTTGTTTCCCCCCCTTCTGTTTCTGTAGCATCTTCACTCTATAGGCTCTAATGCGCCGACCATTTACCAACCGCCGCGTGCTTGTGTTTGCCGTGGTTATAATCTCCCAGCTTGATTATGTCTTCCACGCAGAAGGTCTTATCTCCCGTCTCTGCCCCCCCCCCCCCCCACCCCCCTCAGTCCTGGCCATGCATGAGAACGTCCTCAAGTGCCCCACGCCCGGCTGCACGGGAAGAGGTCACGTCAACAGCAACCGTAGCACCCACCGGAGGTACGTCCGCGGCGGAGAGCCATTAGAGACCCCTGCATCCTGTTCACGGGCGAGTATCAGGCTAATGTGTTTGATTTGCCCCCCCCCCCCACACACAGTCTCTCGGGCTGCCCCATCGCCGCCGCCGTGAAAGTCTCCAAACCTCAGGAGGAGAGCCCGAAGTGCAGACAAACGCCTGACTGCTCGCCCAGGTACACGGCGCCCTGCCGCGTGGTGTTCAGTGACCAAAGTCCAGACCTCCTGCGGACTGAAGTCGTGAAAAACGGAACGGAGGTTTTGCAAAAAAAAAAAAAAAAAAAAGTGCTAAACACAATTATTGTTGAGGCGCTTGCGGGGGATTTTTTTCATCCACTGATCCCAGCAGAACGTCTATTTTGAGCGATGGTTGCCGGTGCTGTGAGTTCCCCTCTATTAGAGATGAACAAAGAGCAGAACTCTTTGTTCCCTGTGGATGCATCATGGGCCGCGTGCCCACGCCTACTATATTAATTAGTCTGGCAACCTGGCTGTGGATCTACAACACACATCGGATCCCAGACTATGTACAAACGCGCTGGCAGCCCCGATTGCTTCAAAACAACTTCTTTACTCAACTGCTAATACGAGCTTATTGAGCACTTGTGATTTCACAATAAAATGAAGCCCCCCTCCCCGCCCCCCCCCCTCTCTCTCAATTTGCCTCCTGGTAGAGCCATCGGCTTGATGAAGAAGTTTGAGATGAACCAGTTGAACTACCGGCTCTCTCATCCGGTAGCAGCCCTGAAAACGAGCCTGGCGAAGGACATGGACAAGTACAGCCGGATCCGCTTCGACTACGCCAGCTTCGACGCACAGGTCTTCGGCAAACAGCCTCTGATGGGCGCCAGCCAGGACCAGGAAATGCCACATTTCCCCGATTGTGAGTGAAGAAAGAGCTGTTTCCGTCACATATTTGTCCCCGTTTCCGATCGACCTGCAGCGTGACCTTCCTGCGGCGCAACCATAACCATACTGGCTAATTATTTGTCTCGCAGCGCCCCAGCGGTACCACGCCTTCCTCGGCGCTCCAGGTGGCGGCTTGCCCGCCTCGGGTCAGCGCAGCCCGCCGAGTCAATTCAGGAAAGAAGACGGCCTCCAGGCCGCCGCGGCGACGGCCGCCATCCTCAACCTCTCCACTCGCTACCGGAAGAACATGGAGGCGGTCGCCGGCAGGCCCTTGGCAACCTCCACAAAGGTAAATCAAATCAGCCTGCTTGGAAAGGTGTTTAATGTGGTCATTTTAAAGGAAAAAGGCGGGCGGGCATCAAAAGGCCGGACTTGGCGCGGCGAGCTCGGCGCTCCGGTGGCAGAAGCACAAGGAGTTTGTCTCTCAAATAAAGCTTTAAGCTACACAAGTGAATACTTCAAACGGGGGAAAACAATCAGCCGTCTTTACCAATTACGTCTATTTGTCCATTTTATAAATACACAATAAAACGTGTGGTACTGTATTCGGTTTTGACATCAGCTGGCGTGTGAAAGCCCTGAACTGTCGTCTGAAGCGGCCTCTCGCCCGCTGCAGATGGCGCAGGATATTCCGCTTAGCGGCGTGATCCAGGAGAAGGCCGCGTGTCTGCAGCAGATAGCATTCAAAAGCAGTTTTTTTTTCACAGGGATTAAGCCGACCAGCCAAAGGAGTCGACGTCTGAGAAGTTAAAACTCCTCTTGGAAGTGTCCAAAATCTCTTCTGCTGTCGCTAAATCTCCCAGCGAGCCGTCGTGTTCGCCTTCTTCCAAACGGGGTGATTAATATCGAACGCATTCTGCGGGTTACACGTACGCGCGCGCCGCGGATGATTCAAGGTTTCCACACCTACACGAGCACAGATTCTGCTCTCCCAGCTTGTTGAGCCGAGAACGTGGCCCGGTACCAGGTAGCGGCCCACTGCATGAATAAAACAGCGTTGGCAAGTTAATCATCTGTTCTCATTTGCAGCTTAGTTGTCTTGGAGAGACGCGCAAAATAAAGAACAGCTTTCGAGTCAGAGGGAAAAAAAGAAAAGAGGGGCCCCTATTTAGAGCGTTATTATGTCGGATAACTTATCTGCATATGTGTGTTACTGAGATACATCGCGCACAAAGACAAGCCTCTAAAGTGTGAATACAAGCTGCTTTTTTAACTTATAGAAAAATGCAAGACGCTTAAATAAATGAAAGAAAATAAATGAATCCAGAGTTTACATTTTTAGTTGAGAAGTGCATTAAAATCGTAATAAATCAGGAAACACATGCGCGTGTTATTTTGATGATGTGCACACGTCGTCACCCGGACGGATGATTTAGGTGGACAGCCACGTCCAGCGTTCATGCAAATCAGCGCCCTTCATTAATTTGAAAAGCTCCCCTTTGTTGCAAAGTAAAATAAATAATGACGTATAGGGTTTAATGGAACACGTGCGTTGAATAATTGGTTTTGTTTATGGAAACGGATGTCGACATTTAACGAGGTAAAAACTTTTAATGCCACAGAAACGGCCATAAGTCATCATGCTCCTGCGTTTCAGCACAAAAACGACAAACACATCTGTCAGCGGGGAAACTTATGCCACATTAAGCTTTTTTAATTTTTGCTGTAATAATGATGACCTAAAACCAACAACCCCCCCGTTCTACCCCCCCAGCTGCCATCATGGTTGTGTGTCCTAGAAAACAGATGACACAGCTGTCACCGAAAAAAAAAACTACACACCAGTGATTATTTTTTTTTTTGTGTTCAGCAGAATTAACGCTGGCTTAGTTCGGTACTTTGTCTGGTGTGAGACCCCTGGATGTATTATTTAAACGCGTTTCTTTGTCTCAAGTCACTTTCACGTGTTTAAATGCCCACCACATCTCCGCCGCCGTACTAATGAGACGCCGCGCCGTTTTATTTACGCTCCCTTTTAGTGGAATTAGCGAAAAAGGCTCTATTTTCACGCCCCGATTCGCTTGTTCCCCCGTCGCTCCCTCCGCGAGGCGGCCTTCGTTTATCCCCGTGCGACATGTGGTTTTGCCCCTCCAGGACGTGCCCATAGAGGTGGACGAAAACGGCACCTTGGACCTGAGCATGAAGAAGAGCAAAGACAGCGGCAAAGGCCCCCTGGACGACTCGCTGTCCCTCGCCGAGGCCGCCAAGGGAGGCGGCGTGCTCGTCGGCCCCGCCTTCTACCAGCCGCTGTGTGAGAGGGACGGCTGGGACGGCCCGCTCCCGCTCCACTTCAACAAGGCTCACGTGTCACCGGACGCGGAGGTACAAACAGACGCTCGACACAACCGACGACCCAAAAGTGCTTTGGATTTTACAGGAATTTACTGTATTTTTACCATTTACTTTATAAACATTTTTTTTACTCAAATTTTTTAAATAGTAAAATGAAGACACCTTAAAGTTGTGTAAGTGTAGCAGATAAAAACCCAACCAGGTTAATCACTTCCCCAAAACAATGACATTTTATAATCTCTTCCGTCGGATTGTTGAAAATATAAATCGTTTTTTAACATTTAAACTCCGGTACCTGAAGGAATCTTTCTTTATTCCACATTTTCTTTTTCTTCACCTTTGGCCGTCGTTATGAAAAGAAATAAGCACATGTGACCTGGTTTTAGAAATCATCCCAACATCTGGTGACTGCACAGTCTTGTCTGTGGAGAAAAGGGAACTCCAGACGTCACGGCCGCGCCTCCTAAACACCGCGTGGATTAAGACGGCCTTTAAATGGGTGTATGGTTTACTGGAGTGTAAGCATCCTTAAGCATGATCGCTCCCGTGCCCCCCCCCCCCCCCCCCCGGGCTTGTGTTCTAAAAATATTACCCACTGCTTTTCATTAAATATTCACTTTTAGGTCATCGGGGCACTTTTAACATCTCACACAATAAAGGGCGGGTTTTTGGGTTTGTTTTCTTCCCTTTCTGGCCCGGCCAGAGGAATACGATCACATGTCTGTTCTGGAAGAACAACACTAACAAGTAGACGGCAGCGTGATGAGCCCCCAAGCCAAGCTGCTGCTGCGGGACGCGAAGAAAGAGCCTCTGAAGTGCGTCGCGTGGACAGAATGGAAGCCGGGCCGCTCGGGCGACGCGCGCGTTAACGGCCGGCTCCCCCTCTTTAGCTGGGAGATAGTCAGCAATAACCACGCGCCGTGAACGTCGGCCCCGAGCGGGGCGCTTTTGATGCGAATGAAGGCCCCCAACCCCGGCGTCATCGTGACCGGTGTTTTCGCATGGTTCTATGCGGGAGCCGAAAGTTGTCTGGTTGAAGTGAAGATCCCTCGCTGCGTGGCGCCCTCTGTAGTTAAAGATGCCATGCCGGGCCGGCTCCCAAAGCAAGAGCCAGAGAGAACAGTAGGAACCTCCTAGTGTCTGCGGCACATCGCCCCCCCCCCTCTCAGTGACGAGCTAATTCCTCCACTAAACTTCCACGCTGTACTAACTGTTTAATGCCCGCGAGAAAAGAAGAAAGGTTCTCAGCGTAGGAGGAAGTTTCAGTTGGAGCCAAATAATGTGTGTGTTTTAATGCTTTGTGTCCTCCTGCAGCTGTCCCACCCCGGGCTGTGACGGCAGCGGCCACGTGACGGGCAATTATGCATCACATCGGAGGTACCCCAAATAATCACGTCCTCGTCAGCAGCAGACATAGAGACAATGCAAGCAGGGCTCATTGTTTAATTATGGCGGCGCGAGCGCCTGCAGAGTCAGACGCCGGATCAGGTGTCACTTCTTTAAAAACACGCCGACGTGAGAGAAGCAGGAGGTGGAATTGTGTTTTTGTATGGGAGTTGCTTTGAGACGTTGCATTAAGATGATTTAATTCAGCCGTGATCAAAGAGTGACTGTGAGCTCTTTATCCTCTGCAGTGTGTCTGGGTGTCCCCTGGCTGACAAAACACTCAAGTCGCTGATGGCAGCCAACTCTCAGGAACTAAAGTACGTGTGTTTGGAAAACTGTTATTGTGACTAAAGGCTTTTGCACGTTAAACCAGGCAGATTTTTTTTGGTGGAGGAGGGAGGGGGGGTCAGCTCGGGTCAATGCTTTCCTTTTCCTTTACTTTTCCCCTGCTACTTCCACACTAAGCGTAATTTAGAGCGATACTTTGCTGCGCGCCGCTCGCAGTCTCTCGCTGTAAAAAAGCACCTGGTCTCTGTGTCCCTCGACCTGCAGGTGCCCAACACCTGGTTGTGATGGATCGGGACACGTGACTGGGAACTACGCTTCGCACAGAAGGTAGCCGAGAAAAGCCGCCGTCCACCGAGCATGAAACACATTTGTCAGATGCATGACATTCAGGCAGATGGCGAAAGTCTCACTTTGTGCCGCAAAACGTGCTGCACTTTCTCAAAGTCTTGTTTTGATAGATGTTTTTGGCTGCCTACTTCTCCAGCGTTTAGACATTTATTTGTGTAGATTTGCAGATTTGCAGAACCTCGTAGCGGCCTGCAGCTACTTAGCTTTTATTTTTTTGAACTCCAATAGATTTCCCATGTTAACCCATGCTGTCGCCGATCATTTTTAGCTTGTCAGGATGTCCACGTGCCAGAAAGGGAGGTTTGAAGCTCACACCAGACAAGGATGACAAAGATGAGCAAGAGCTTAAGTAAGAGTTTTTTTTTCCCCTCATCCCATGCTGTCATTTTTTCTTTTTTTTTTGTTTCAAAAAAAGAAATAAATCAAAACATTTGGTAAATGCGTCATGCCTTTGCGCCCGGGGCATTATACCTGCAGGCCATTAAGTTAAACAAAGAAAATAATACTTCTCTTGTCGAAACATTAGTGAATTATTTTCTGAGGATTAACAGCGTGTTTTTGTGGGATTTTTTTCAGGGTTTTGTATTTTTCCCATTTTCTGAATAGACTATCTGGCTTATTACTCTGCACTGAGTGCTTTCTTCATAATTATAGTATATTAAGAAAACTGCCTGCTCTGATGGCATTGCACTCGTTTGCAGCTTAATCATTGTCTGTGAAAGTGTTATTGGAAAAAAAAAAAATAATGTAATTGATTTGCAGTTTAAATCCAAAGTCAGATATATGAGCCTTTGTTTACTTATACATCTGGACACTGATTTTTTTTTCTTTTTAATTACTAATGCAAGGGCATGAGCTTAGGAATTAGACTGGAATAGATCTCATACACATTAAGAGAGAAAGGGAGAGAAAGGGGGAGGGTTGCAAATGTCCCTAGATTATTGTAAACAGCGGGCCATATGGCACGCCTCCATTGTCCTGCTGCTGCCTACCTGTAGTAGATGTAAGTAATGGCGCCCGTGTTGTTTTGTCCTCTAAGTGCTGTCGAGTGACGAAATGCTGAAACGGGCTTTTTGCGGCAGCACTCTAAAGCATGCGTGCCATTTGTATCATCTCAGGTGACCTTTCACCTTTATCAATAAGGGAAAGGGTTCGCCACCTCCAAATTACATTCTTTCGCATGAGGGGATACATGACAATTATCTGTAATTCATGTCACTCCATTACTGACCTGCAGGAAAAAAAAAAAAAAAAAAAAAAAAAACAGGCCTGGAAATGCAACTGACAAACTCTTAATGATATTCAGCGTGACTCTTGCTTTTGTTTTCGAGTGCAAACATCAGCAACCTCGGAGCGCACGCGCTGCACGCGGCGTCCGTTCCAACTCAAGTTTCACTGGATTAGTAACTTTAAGCTAATGCGATTATTTTGTTTTTTGCCGACTTGGTTTTTAATCAGCATTTGACTGGATTAATCAACTTAATGGTTAACAAATCTTCCGGTCTAGTTGTCGAAACAGTGATTTTCATTTTTATTTTATTTCTTTTTTTTCTCTGACGACGTGGTTGTTTGTTTGACGAGCAGCAAAGTGCCTTCGCTTCCTCCGCCGCGTAGGAGACGTTGTTGAATGCGGGTCGCTCGGCGGCGTTTACGACATGCACGGGTTTCTCTGCTCAGGTGTCCAGTGATGGGATGTGACGGACAGGGCCACACATCAGGAAAATACACCTCCCACCGCAGCGCCGGCAGCTGTCCACTGGCTGCCAAGAGGCAGAAGGAGTCGTCCGTCAGCGGGCTGCCCTTTGCCTGGAAGGCCAATAAGCAGGAGCTGCCCCACTGCCCCCTGCCTGGCTGCAACGGCCTCGGACATGCCAATAACGTGTTTGCCACTCACAGAAGGTGAGGTCGCCCCGCCTCCGTTTTCACGCCGCTCGTTGCAACGATCTCTGTTGATGCTTGAAGTTTCTGTGACATCGTGCCGACTAAAAAGAAACGAAACGCTGTCCCTTTGTGACCCGCCGGACCACAGCCTGTCGGGTTGCCCGCTGAACGCACAGAGCATCAAGAAGAAGCACTCGGAGGAGGAGATGATGACCATCAAGCTGAAAACCAGCAGCGGTGAGCCCGTGTGACGTGTGGTATCTGGGGGTCGTGAAGTCACGCACGCCTCCCGGCGCCGGTAATGGCCACGTTTGCCCCTTTTGAGCGGGATTCACTAGACGATTTGCTCCCGCCCAGGTGTCGAAAACAAAGAAGACATTCAACATTTGGATCATGAAATCCAGGAGCTGAATGAATCCAACATGAAAATAGAAGCAGATATGATGCAACTTCAAACGCAGGTAAATATCTCCTCTGACGAGTCCGTTTCCCGATGGGCCTCTTTGCTCGCTGCCATTTGAAGAATTACTTATTATCTTTTTCGCCGTTTCGTTTTTGTACCCGAAAGCAGATCTCGTCTATGGAATGCAACCTGCGGACGATCGAGGAGGAGAACAGGATGATCGAGCAGCACAACGACGGCCTTCTCAAGGAGCTCGCACGCCTTAGCCAAGCTCTCATCAACAGCCTGACGGACATCCAGCTGCCTCAGATGGTACAGTGAGCCGCTCGCCACCTCTCACCCGTCCTGGAGGAAAGAAATCGTTTTTCTCTGCTGCGCCGCTTTCACTGATACTCAAACACGTGTTGTTGTTTCTGTCCACAGGGACCCATCAGTGAGCAGAATTTTGAAGCCTATGTGAACACGTTAACCGATATGTACAACAACTCGGAGCACGAATACTCTCCGGAGTGCAAGGCCCTCTTGGATAACATCAAGCAGGCTATTAAGGGCATCCACGTTTGAGCGAGCGAGGGGCTTCTTTGACTCGGGGTAATGGCACTAGATGGCTCTGTTTGACCGGGGAGGGGAGGCTCGGCTGCATGTATAAGACGAGGCTCCTGGTAAACGCGCTGCACTGAGAAGAACGACCAGCCAGATTTGTAATGCTTTTACCGTTTCTGCGTTCACTTGATATGTTTATCTTGGTGAGATTTTTACCCCTCTTGCACTTAATTATTTTGTATGGTTTGCTTGATTTTAATCTGTATCTCTTCATGTCATTCTTATATTATCACTATTTATTATTATTATTATATTTGTTCATCAGTGTATTTATTTCCTTGATTTTATTTATTCCTTGAATTGTAAATGCTTAATAATTAAGGAATATGTTTGACTTTCTGCACATTGTAAATTTACATAGAAGCACATTCCAATTTCATGGCATACTTTCGCCATCTAGTGTTGAAAAACTTATATTATTATTATTATTATTATTAAAGCATAAGTTGGATCTCCCTTCAAAGTAAAAAACTACCAAAACGACTAAGAATCAATATTTTTAAGCATTGCTTTTGCTTTCTTTATTGGAAACTGAATGTATGGTGAGACAAAGTGAACACTGAGATAAAAAAAAAATGCAATGCAACAGTACTGTACCTTTTCCTTCTTAACCCAATAACAGCTGAATGCAAACAGGAAGTGACACTGAGCTAAAGCGCAACATCATTCGGTGACCTGAATGTCCACATTCTGCTTTGCATAGAAGGAGTGCGACACAAATCAAAAATCCACTTTGTCGAGATGTCTTTTTTAAAATATAGATATTAAACTGCCTTCTGTGCACACACTTTGAAGTGTGCATATAGTATGTGCCTAAATGTATATGAATCCATAAAAGTATACGAGTACTATGTTTTGTGGTAGGACAGTATTATGTGGATGGTGTCTAATTTATTATACAGTACAATTATTTTCATAGGAGGAAACGTTCCTGATGACTGTTTAAATGCCGTTGTCTCAGTAGCCGTAATCTCAGAGGCCGGTTTTGAAATATCACAACTGAGATTGAAGTCTGGTGTTTATTTGACCTTTTGCGAGCATGGTGAGAGGGGAAAAAATAAAGAGCGAATAGAAATATCAGCAACATCCATTCCCGTTTTATCTTAAACTGCTTACAAGCCTTAAGATCCCAACCAGTCGTACAGTTTGAGTATAATTGTAACGCTTGGGGCAGATTTGAATAGTAGATATTTCAAAAACCGAGCTGTCCACCACCACAACTAGCATTTTGATTTCAATCATTTAAAGCAAAACGAAAAAGAAAAGAAAAAAAGAAACGACAACATAGACAAATGGTAGTTGTTGGCATCAATTGCACTTTTGTATCTAATTATTTTGTATTTTTAGTTCAACGTACAGCCGTTAACTAACAAAAGAGGGAAACGTGACACGTTGTCACATCACTGTTCCGGTGCGAGTCTCATGAAGTTAAATAAAAACGACACAGTAATTCAGTTGAGCAATACATTTTTCATTTTTGCAAAAATAAGTCAAAGACATGTAGCCAAGGACAATTCCAAGAGAAAAAGACGGAACAGCAAAACAGCCAAATTACAGAAAATGTGACCCTGTTTTTATCCAAAAACTCAATGATTTAAAGAATTTTGAAAAAGATGGAATCAAACTCTTTAAACCTAGCAATCCTTTATTTATTTAAGATATTTAATTCCTATACCACACATTGTTTGCTCAGGAAGTTTTGTGAATAATAACAATTTTTCCCCGTTAGTATTTGATGTTTTGTAATGTGAAATGCTTTTTTTTGTGGAACGATATTAGTATGAATTATGAAATTGTATTGTATTTTCTTTTAAATTAAATTAAACGGTAATGCTTTTTTTCAGTTGAAGTAGTTTGTAAATTGAAAACTTCCTATTACTTTTACTATTTCATAATAAACAGATATGCGCTGTGTTGTACAGTTTGTGTATGGTAGAAATAAACTTTTCAAATGGTTGTGTGGTTCCTCAAAGCTTTCCAAGTCCAAAGTAATGTCTGACATTCCCTTGTGCATCGGCGCCACCGTGTGGTCGATACGCGGTACTACAGCGACAGGGAGCGGTCGATGGGAAAGATGCAAACAACTGCTTCAAAGTGAAGGATTAAGATGCTGATCATGTATCCGTGACAGGTCATCCATCCGTCTCACCTTCACCTGATCACCCCACACCGTCAGAAAAATACCCGAATAAATCAAAGCATGCACTACGTCTCCAGTTTGACCAGATTAAGGCTGCAACCAACGATTATTTTCCCAATGAATTAGGTTATTTAAATAGGACGTATTTATTTTAGTCCAAAGCACAAATAAATATTTAGTTTACTATCAAATACCACAAGAAAAGTTGTTAATATTAACATTTCCAAGCGGATGTAATCAGTGATCAGCATCGTTGCATTTCTAACTAAGATACTTACATTTAAGGGGAAACGAGTTACTTCTTCCATGTAAAGTGACACGTAGCAAAACAGACTCAACATATGAAAAACACCCTGAAGCACAAACTCGTAGATATCGATAGAGGGTATCAGTGTAGCTCCGGTGACAAATGTAAATTAAACAAACTGTTTAAACTTGGCGTGCCTGAAAAGTGAACCAATGAAAAGATGACAATGAAATTACCAGCAGAGTAGCTCAGTCACTTTGAGTGTATCTCCAAATATAATCATGAATGTAATCCGGTAAAGACTGGCAAAACAAACAAGCGTTGTGTGTGTGTGTGTGTGTGTGTGTGTGTGTGTGTGTGTGAGAATAGGCTTTTGTGATTGTAACATTATAGACTGTTAAATTTAATGCAGGTCTCAAAACCAACTGCTTGTGGAGGCGGCTCAGAAAATCACTGCTGAGTGACTCAAAGCAGGAAGAGTCGAGGAGAAATGGCTTCCTACTGTGCATCAGTGTGGAAAAACTAACGAAAAAACTTCTAGAGCCATTAGTTTAAGCCCAAAATTAAGATTATATTGTGGATGACGATTGATTTGATTTAAGAAAGATGTAAAGTCTTTACATTCCAGCCTGGCTCTCTAGAACAAGCAAAAATATTTCTGTGTGCTCTCTTATTGCTCTCAAAATAAAACAAACTTTCTTTGCACATATGTACATCAGAAAAGTCTGTTTTTGTGGTAGTTTGCCCACAGAACTTTTTGATGAGTTTCTAGGTTACCATTAAAAAAGGTTTTGAAAAAAAGAATTCAATATGTTGTGTCAAAAACTATCATGGGAAAAAAGTAAAATAATATTATGTCAAAAAAGTGTTTGGGAAAAAAATAGGTTGAAAAATGTTTTGGAAAAAGAAAGTCTAAATATATTTATCTAAATTATAAATCGTCATGGGAAAAATATTATGAATGTCAAATGATATTTTAAAAAAGAAAATATGTTAACTTTTTAAAAAGTCTGTAAGTGTTGAAAACTATTATATACTATACAAATATGCTAAGTTGAAACTATCATGGAAACAAAGTAAAAAAATATTATGTCAAAGAATGTTTAGAAAAAAAATCGAAATATGTCAATAGGTCAAGACGGAAAAAATTGAAAAATATTACTTTAAATAAGTTTTAAAAAGTAATGAATTTATTGTTTCTCATGGAAGTCCATGTGAAAAAAGTTTGGAAAGTAAAGTAAAAACAACAGGTTGAAAAATGTTTTGAAAAAAAAATATTCGAAAGAAGTAAAAAAATGTTAGGTAGACAAAATATTTAGAAAAAAAATGACTAAATATATTTTGATGTAAAATGTGATGGATATTATGTCAAAAATATATTGTAAAAAAGTTTAAAAAAATATTAGGTTGAATCTTTCATGGAAAAAAAAGTCAAAAAATATACTGTCAAAAAAAAGAAAATAAATATATTAAGTTGAAAAAATTTGGGGAAAAAAGTCAAAATATTTTATGTCAATATTGTCATGGAAAAAAATGTTATTTCAAAAAAGTATTTGGAAAACATGATGTCGACAATAAACATATGTAAAAAATGTATATAGAAATGGTGTTGAGTTTGAGCAGAACAGCAAACTCATAACTATATGAATATTTGTATGTATATCATATTTGCTTTATTGCTCTAACTCAACATCACCACAATCTTGAGTCGTGCCCCAGGAGACCCGGCTCCCTGTAATGTACACACAGTGTGTGGTGTGAGCAGACTGTGGGAGCGTCAGTGCAGATATCGAGAAAAGCTCCATGGCGACACACTCTGACCTCAGCCAACCCTGTTAGTCAACAATGTCTGTCTGCATTTGTCTCAGCGACAAAACTAGGGTGATGGTTTTGTGATTTTTAAAGTGATATACTTGAAAGCCTTGGCTGTGAGGAAACTGAGGTCAGGTCCTCATACTGTAATGACTTGAGTAGATGATTACAATATAGCATTACACAAGTTACACACAATCTCATATCTATCTGTGTACTATAGTTTTGGATTAAAAAATACATATATCAAATAAATAAAACACATAATTACAAAAAAATTCTCTCTACCAGCATTGAATCTCTGTTTATGTAACAAAGGGCATGAATAAAATGTCTCTCCTGATGTTGCACTTGATCCTGGTCCTGGTTTCATGTCCAACATACTTATTGTAACGCTGGAAACGTTACACTTGGAGAAGCTGATGTTGATTCGTCTTTCCGGTCATATGAGCAGGTCCAGTGTTCAGAGACTTTGGAACTTGAATGAACCCAGATTTAAAACAGTCTGCAACATCGTTGTCATGCAGTCTGCTCAACAGATACTTCTCCTGAGAGAACAACCGCTCTTCACTGCAACCCCTCAAAAGAGGATCATATTCCTTAAGATGAAATAGAGTTAAATACAAACACTCCACTGTGAATGCGGATGCATTTTTGTTTAGCTTTGCAGAATATTTTGTGCTCTAAAAACTGGTTTGGAGAGACTTTACTCCTACTATTCTGTACAAAATAAAATAGCTAATAACTACCTTTGTTTAAAAAAAATATATATATGGGCAGACGTTGAGACTGCAGCAGGTTTAGTGATGCTAATTTTCCGTTCAACATATATACATATATCTGTTCACGTTTTAAAGCCATCTATGATACGAGGTGAAGCGTGGTCCTTACACTTATGTTTATTCCCAGAAGACCAGAAAGGGCTAAAATCAGCTGCAAGCTAAATTTAAACCTTTCCTTGAGGGATCTGTGAGGTTCTGAGGTGGACAAAACTTTCCCGGATCTCTCAGAAGATCACGAAGAGGCTTGTCGTCGCTATATATTATTCCTGACCTGTATTTCTTTGCGTGTTTTTAGTCAAACCTTACCTACTGATGGAAAGATCTGGTGTATACGATTCGTTTGTAGCAGCAGCACCAGGGCAGATTTAATACAGCGAGATGGATTTCAAAATAAAATGTAACAAAATGAAAAAATAACTTCACAAGAGCACTTGAAGACCATCACGATGTTGTGTAACTAGACGCAGAAAAGAAAAACAGCATAAACTGCACAACGTATGGCCAGATGTTTCTGTGATAGATGCACTTTTCTCCGTTGTGCGTTAGGCAACAAAACACATACAAATGTACAGCTGCAATTGAAAGAGACATTGACAGTCTAAAGAAGACCACTGTACGCCGGATTGATTGATTGGCTGATTGATTAATCAAAGTTGCTATTTCCTCTGCACTAAAAGCTTTGTGACTTGACCCAAATAAAGAGCTGTGTGTGCGGACGGACCGCAGTGAGAGCAACAGCGCCCCCCCCCCCCCCCCCCCCCGGAGGGTGGAGAACACGTGGACCGTGTTTACATCCTCGCCTCGCCGTTTAACGACTTACTCAACCGGAGTGACCGCCAGTTAACGTCAGCGCGCCGCATCCCGGCGGGTGTCCTCTTCCTCAAAACAAGCACAAATAAAACGGAGCCTGAAAGTCAGCGGCCGGCGGAGCGTCCGGGTAATGCGACGCGGCCTTGTGAGTATTTCTACTTGAGTTGTGTTATTTATCATGCAACTAACTGCCGTGTGTGTTGTCTGTGTGTGTGTGTGTTGTGTGTCTGTGTCGGCCGTCCCGTTTGTACCGCTAACAGCATGATATCGGTATAGGCTCCATTATTGTGTGTGTGTGTGTGTGTGTGTGGCCCGGATAAACACCCGAGCTTACCTAACCCGCTTTGTCTCCGTCGCGGTGATGGCGCACTCGGGCCCGCGGCAGCTACGCGTTAGCAGAGGCTCCATCGCGCCGTGAACTCGACACCATCTTGTCTGAAACACTTTAAACTCGCGTCTCCACCAAAACGGTCGTTTTTTTGTGTGCGTGTCGTTTTTTGTTGTTGTTGTTGTTTTTTTACGTTGAGACTTCTCGGCCTCGGACTCGCCTTTGCGCTTCTTTTTTTGCGGTCGGACCGCGCAGGGACGCCGCGTTGAACGAAGCTGTTTGGCTGGTCGACGCTTAAAGATCGAGGTTAATCCTCAGTGAGACGCAGCGCGTTTATGGTCGACAAGTGGGTGCAAGAAATCACACCCGGTGCTTTAGTGTGTGTGTGTGTGTGTGTGTGTGTGTGTGTGTGTGTCCGCCGGACTCTGCTTTGTCACATTTGTGTTTTTTTGTTTTTTTTTGGACACGTTTGTTTGGGGAAAAAAACCCAGTCGTGGTCAATAACGCTCGAGAGCGATGTTGTTGTTTTGTTCCGTCGTCACACGCAGTGCGAAGAAAGTGTCCCGGCAGCTGATTGGCCGACGGGCCGCCGGCTGCGTGGCAACGGCAGCACGTGACCAGGCAGCGCGCTGATTGGCTGCATCGGCTGTCAGTCGTGGGGGACGTCGAAGCAGCTGGAGGGGCAGAAAATACTTAATACGTGTCTCCGAGTTCCGAGTTTCAATACCAGAAACGACTACAACGGCTCCATAAACAGACTACAAAAGTGTTAACTAGTGATTTAGGTCAGTATTGATTCATATTCCCACTAGTTCCTCGTTCGGTCTTTAAACTGTATGAAAACATTTGACGCCAATCCTAATTTAATAAATTACACCGACATATTTATATTTTGGCCCATCAACTGTAGAAAACCTACAGACTTTCTATTAATTGTCAAATAGCGCCATCTTTATAAAAGCCTTTATTTTTATGAAATGATTTCTCCACATTTAATTTACGGCCGATTTCTCTAATTGATTTAAAACTAAATATATGACTTCTGCACATTCACATTCATCCCCTACTAGTATCTCAACACTAGATGGCGCTCATTCAGTGACTTACAATCAAGCATCTGGCTTCACAACAAGTGGACCTCTGAAATCTTCATAAGGCCTTTAAAAAAGAAAAAACATGACTTGAAAGATTAATAATACTTATTCTTGCCACTTAAATGATACAGATATAGTCTTAAGCGGCCACAACAGACGTCTCTACCGTCGCGTCCTGCAGCTGTTTGTGGCCAAATAACTGAGTTCGGTGGTTAAAGTTGCATAAATAAAGACGGAGGCGACTACACACATTCACAGTCCGTCGGATGGCACCGTCAGGTCCCTACTGCTCGCCTGGAGAGCCCGAGGAACAGCCGTGCTGTTAACTGACCCACTGCTTCTCAGTCTATCATGGGAGTTTGTAATATTCCAGTGTGAGAAGTGTACTAAAGGAAGGGGTCACTATGACGGGGGACTCATTACACTCTGGGACGTCTTGTGCCGTCGTGGAAATGAAGGTCTTTATCTGACGCCAACTAACATTGCCCAAAACGTTACGACCGGAAAGGAAGACGCACTCTTGAAATGGCTCCAATTGTTCCCTTTTTTTATGTCAGAAAGTCGAGTGATGCTCCCTTTTGGTACAAGTGGGGGGGTCAAGATTTCTATTTAATATTTAAACAAACTCAACAGTGAATTTCTGCCCTTTTTAGTCTATATAGTCAGACATTACGTGTAAATCGTTCGGCAGGTTATTAAAATTCAAAAGGATGAGACTTCTGAGGACTATTATTAGCAAACATCAGCGTATTCAGATTTCGGGGTAAATAATGTATAATGGGACATTTCCTGTGCGAGTCATCAGGTGACCAGCATCGTTATGATTTACCTTCTGCGCGCCGAGGACGGAGGATTTAATGGGATGTGGGTCATTAGTTTTCCAGGTCAGGAAATGAAGTATTTGACCCGTTGGTGGCGCTAGAATTAGCGCAGCGTCCTCCAAAAGGTATCATGCATCACACGAGTGATGCTGTGCATCACAACACAGCGTGCAGGTGTTTTCCTTCTCGCTCAGCGGGGAGAGAAACAACACGCTCCTCTGCACTGAGGAACACTCCGCCTGCAATAACCGATTCCATTCGGGGGCCTTTTGTAGCGAAACAAATGAGCACTTTGAAATTTGCATTTGTAAAGCACATTTGTTCACAGGTTGTATTAATAATACGTTTGACATTGCGGATAAATCTGTCGGGGGAATTTTCCACAGAGACGTACATCGTAATTTGCAGATGGTGATATTCTTTGCTTCAGTGAGTATGCGACAAAGTGCAGTTCTGAAACGTGGAAACAACTTCACAGCTACGTTGTAGCGTCAAATTCGGCCCTCGTCACTCGACCTCCAGTGCAAACGCGGGACATTTAATTCACGTGTGATTTATTTCCCACTAACGACATTAATGCCACTGTGGCCTTCTGCCCGAGACGCCGTTTTCCTCGCCAACAGCAGCTGCACGTGTGTTCGCTGAGACGTTGAAACGCTGGTAACGAGGATACATTCCTCTCAGAGGCTCTGCTGCCCGCGGCGCCGCTCGGCGTTCCGTTACGGCACCGGCGCTGATCTGGCGTTGCGGCAGGACCCGCGTCTGTCGTCCTGCAGGGGTTCGGTGACTCGTTCGCTGGTTTCGCGGCAGCCGGTTCGCGACGCGACGCGGCGTCTTTTCGGGTTCGACCCGGAAAGCATCACCGGTGGTTTCCCGTTTGATGCTTTTGTGGACGGAACGAGCTTCACCATGGCAACAAAGGTCGTCGCGCAGCTGCTTCTTCATGAGTGTCCTCTAATCGGAGCGGGCGAAGGATGACTCCTGTTTCAAGACTGCGGTTGTTATCAGTGAGACTCTACAGCGGCGCTTAAAAGCAATTTGCCTGCACGATACCTCCCCTGACACATTTCCTGGATTTTCTTTCAAATGCGGGCCACTCAGAAGGAGAGTGCGTTACAGAGAGGGCCGAGGGGTATTCAGAAGAAGAAAAAAAGAATACACCGCTGTGCAATTGGTTGCTGAACGAGTCCGTGATGATTTCTCCCAGCGAGAAAGAGCCAATGTAGAATGACCTTAGCAGGCCTCTCACTGCAAAGTCACCCCTGAATTTATCCCCATTGGCCGAGTCAGACGTGGAGATGCTGAGGAGGCAGAGCGGGAATGTCCACCTCCACACGTCATCAACGCGTCTGTAGAATGTTTAAGCATGTGCTGGTAGCGTCCTCTTCATCTCTACGCTGTCGTACTTCACAGTATCAAGTTATTAAATAGCCGGTTGCTCGTAAGTAACTTCCAGATCAAGCGGAGATCAGTTTGCATTGAACCGAGGAAGTGAAGCAGCAAATTCCTGGCATTCAAATAATCAATTAAACTAATCATTTGGCCTTTAAATAATAATAATAATAATAAAACATCATTACACTGTCCATGCAGCACGACTAACAGCTGTGTGTCTGCTGGAAAATCACAGGTTACGAAGGACGTTAATGAGGCTTTGTTCCACGAAGCCCTGCGAGCCAGCAGAGCAAGAATATTATATAATGTGTTATATTGAACGAGAGTAAACAACTTGTATACGGAAAGTGTGTCTGGAGGTAATCTCAGGAGTTAATGATGTGAAAATAGTCATTTGAAGGTTCACGTTATAAAGCCACAAATTACATTTTCCAACTAAAATACCTTGTTCTTGTATTATTGGATTGTTTTCAAACGGCAAACTTTTGCCGGATCTATTTAATGTTCAAATAGATGCAGCTTTTATACACAGTATAATTGTCTTTTCAGAGTGAAATCATTTGGATGACCACTGATTTATGTAAAGTTCCCTCATTCTTCGGTCTCGTCTCTTTCAGTTGTTCGTTTCTCCGCAGAAAAACAACCGCTATCGTGAGATGAGATCTTACGTCTGCACAGGCGCCGTGTCCCCGCGCGGCGTGTCGCTCTGACGCGTTTACGTAATCTCTCCTCAGGTCACTTGCCGCCTTGACATGACCGCAGTCTGAACCGGCGCCCGAGGAGTCACGTTCAGGTCAGCCGCTCGCGCCCCAATGCCGCTCTGAGGAGGAACCGCTCGACCCCCGGAGTCCCGCTTTGGCCCTTCGTGTGTGTGTCTCTCTCCTCTCTTCGCCATGGGGGGAGCCGTGAGCGCCGGGGAGGACAACGACGACCTCATTGACAATCTGAAGGAGGCGCAGTACATCCGGACGGAGAAGGTCGAGCAGGCGTTTCGGGCCATAGACCGCGGCGACTACTACCTGAACGGCTACCGGGACAGCGCCTACAAAGACTTGGCGTGGAAGCACGGCAACATCCACCTGTCGGCTCCGTGCATCTACTCCGAGGTGATGGAGGCCCTCAAACTGCAGCCTGGGCTTTCTTTCCTCAATCTGGGCAGCGGGACTGGCTACCTCAGCACAATGGTTGGCCTCATCATAGGTAAGCAGCGTGGAACGTGCAAATCAGTTATCGTTTTTATTCTTGGGTATTATAAAGGTGCCATCTGCGAATCATCGTGGTGAACTGAATGTGTTTAATTCACAAAATCTTGTTGCAGCTCTATATGAATTCACAGTAATTTGTAGGTAATTCTGTGTTTTTCATTCATTTAAAGACAAAGTTGTTCCTGTTTTTTTGTTTTTTTCCCAGGGCCCTTCGGTGTGAACCACGGAGTGGAGCTCCACAAGGACGTGGTCGAATACGCCCGAGAGAAACTGGATGATTTCATAAAGGGTAGCGACAGCTTCGATAAGTAAGCACATCTCATCTTGGCAAACGTGCCAAATTATGTATTTTTCCTTTTTGCTAGTTCGCAAAAGCTTTGAACATTTGAGTTGCCATCACACGTCTTTATGCCGCGTCCCGGGTTTCGTTGTGCTTTGCTCCGCCACTTTCTGCAAAAAGGCAAGATTGAAAAAGACAAAAACAAACACGAAACAGTAGCTCAGCTCGGCCTAGCTTAGCATAAATGGTGGAAACAAGAGGAAGCAGTTCTAACGGGATCTCACTACTCATGCTCACCCATGATGATTATTATTACTATTACTATTGTTGATTTGAACAAAATCCGTGTGGGGCGGTGAGACCTGTCACTTCTGCTCCTGGAAACGAATCACATTTTAAACCGTCGTTCTCGCCGTCTAATCTGCATGATTTTGTCGCAGCTCCCAAATGTGACGATCCGAAGAGAAATTTTGTTTTATGTATTTGATCCACGACTTGTCATTCCTTTTGCACAGGTTTGAGTTCTGCGAACCCGTCTTTGTGGTGGGAAATTGCCTTGAAATCTCAACGGACAGTCATCAGTACGACCGCATCTACTGCGGCGCCGGCGTGCAGAAGGACCACGAAAATTACATGAAAGTGCTGCTCAAAATTGGAGGCATTCTGGTGATGCCCATAGAAGACCAGGTAAGTGCTACCAGCCTCCTGCGCGACACGCGAAGCAACACAAAGCGATTGGCATTCAGAAAGCTAGCGCACGGGGGAAAGCAGGTAAAACAGCTTTGACCCACAAGAGCGCTTATGCAACTTTCACATGCATTATTGAGGCGCGACGGCCCCTGGTTTGCGCTCGCAGCGGGCTGTATAAATACATGTTTTATTTAAAAAGTGGCTGTGAGCGTGGACGGACTGTGGGGCGTATACACGGGTGTGTTTTGGGAAGACGCAAAGATCACGACAGAAGGATTTTGGACACAGCTGGACTAAGATTAGAGATTTAATGTCGGCGGTTGTTTAAGACTTGAGTTTAGAGAAGACAACGTACTCACACGAAATGAATGAGATGTGATGCTGTGTTTTTAAATAATGTAGCAGGTCTTGATAAGGACAAAAACAGGCTTATGAATCACGACGGGGACAATAATCAGCATATTGTGATAAAATCTTTGTACGATCTCGGCTGCAGGAAAGCACCACAAACCCACATCCGCTCGCACCACGTGCACTCTGATGCAAATCGTTTTTAAAAAATCTTTAATCTGCACCAAGCGTCGGCTCTCCCACCTCCTGTAAAAGAACAAACACCCCCCCCCCCCCGAGTGAAGCATGTGAGGAGCTGAGATTCAGTAGACAGTACTTATGTAACCAAGCATCAAGACATTTTATTCCCCCACTCGATATTATATAATGGACGGCATCACTTAGAGGTGATTTCCAACCTACTCTCTATTAATGTTAATGGTGGTGGGGGCCTCTCACAGGCATATGGTCGGGGATTTCTGTCAACCTCGGGTCAGTTATGACCCTTAATGAGCTTTATTGGCCAAGTATGTCTACGCATACATTTTCCCACTACGAGGTATTTCTTTGCAGAACATCTCTAGAACTAGACGACTCCCGGCACAACGCATCCGTTTGTTCCAGCAGCATTTATCTTTGCTTTCAGTGTTTAGGTTCGTCTGCCAACCACGATGAACACGTGCCATTTGGAATAAGATCACTAGATGTGTAAATGTTGTTTCTGCCGAGGAGCAAACAGACTATTTCCTTGGAATCTCCTCTATTCAGGTGGCGAAAAAAAAAGTAATTTTTGAAGAAACTGTGCTTCTTGCTCCCTAGTGTCACGGGAACATTTCATATTTTATAAGTGTCAAGTTCAGGTTTTGCCTCTTTATGAAGCTGACCCAGATAACCAGGACTGGCCAGTGCACATGGGACAGCAAAAACATCCTGGCGGTGTCCTTTGCCCCCTTGGCCCAGCAGAGCGTAGCTGATGGAGAGAAGCCCGACGCTGTCCAGCTGCGTAAGTTCCTCACAAAAGCAAACTCCTTGTGTTTTTTTTTATGATGCCCAACTGGTCTTGAAGTGTGACGCAGTCAATGTTTCAAAGTGCGACAGTGCATTTGAAAGTGATGTGACGAGACGATTCCGACAGCTCTCCCCGCAGCTGCTCCGCTCGGCCGGTGGAATCATTTTCCCTGACGCGCCGAGGCGCCGTTTGTCGTCGCTCTCTCTCTCTCTCTCTCTCTCTCGACGGGCCTCTGGCGTGGAACGGCCGGCGCGGCTCCACGCACCGTTCTCGGTTGTCGACTGTCCTCTGCGTTTTTGTCCCCAGCGCCGGTGACCGTCCGCGGCCTTCAGGATCTGTCCCGGATCTCCATCCGGCGCACGCTGAGGAGCCTGTCCAAAGAGGAGGCCCAGGGGAAGGACGTCGCGCAGCGGCTTCCCCAGAAGCGCAAGCGCAGGCGCTGCCGCCGCCGCCGCATCAACACCTACGTGTTCGTGGGCAATCAGCTGATCCCCCAAATGGTGGAGAGCGAGGAGGAGGAGCACGCCGAGGAAGAGCACAAGGAAGCGGAGGAGGAGGAAGAAAGGGACCTTGGCGACATTGAACTCCTCAAGCAAGTGAACATGTTGAGGGACCAAATAATGTCTCTGCCGCTGCCCGAGTCACTGAAAGCATATCTGCTGTATTACAGAGAGAAATGACTGATGTCCGCGGCGCCGGCGGGGACGCTGTCTCCTCCACCTTTCCAGTACAAATGTAGCTTTATTTCCATTAAGTCGTAATGGCAAAACGATGCTGAAAGAGACGTGTTGGATAATAATGTTCTCATCGTCAAGAATTGTATGAATTTGTATATCGAGAAAGAAAAATAATGTAAAAAGTAAACTAAGTGGACCGAAACCCATTTAGAGATTCAGATTTTATCACAATGTCGGGATTTCTGCAGAAATATGCAGATAAAAAATTGTATATGAACAAAGTCCTCATTATATTTGTCAGAAAACGATTATGTTACGATGAAGACTTTCATCGCAGCTTTTATAGAAGCTTTAACTCACCGTCGCGGTCCGGTGATTTATTCATCACCAGAGGAAGCGGAAGCACACGGCACCGAAAGTCACACGAGGCCACGTCCTCCTTTTTCCACCTTTCATAACCTTAAACTTGTGTCGTTGCTGTTGACGGGTTGTCTTCGGTCCACGTGTTTTGTACCTTCCTGTTACAAGAGCTCATCGGAAGACTTTATTGACTCACCGTCTTTTCTACACGGCACCTTTTTGATGTAAAGTTTTTTTTTTTTTCTGTCGGGTGTCTTTGTGTTTCCTCACTTTGCATATGAATCGCTGACGCCCTACTTGATACGAAGCAGCGTGTCAGGCCCCTCTCGTCTCCACGGTTACCCTCATCGCTGATGCAAATCGTATAATTAATCATATCCGAGGTGTTGAATAACGATAGAATTGACAGGTGTTTTTTAGCTTTGCTTTAGAAATGGACTTTGGGGGGGTGATGGTCAATAATGCATGAATTTACTGTAAATGTGTAGCGTGTTCTTTACTTTTACGTCACATCTAATTGGTCACTGGAGGTGATGTCCCAGGTGATCAAGACTGGAAACAATTTGATAGAAGAAATTATATATATATATAAACAGGAAATCAAGTAGATGGCATTGAGACAAATCTCAATTTCTGAAAAGTAATTTTGTTATTATTTAGTTTTTGTATCCTGGACTGTAGAAGTGTCCCACGGAGCACCTTAGTCTGCCGTCCTCCACTGAAGACAGAACACCCTTGGTCGTGCGGACTGGACTTGTGATGTGAAGCCTGTTTTTTTTCACGGGACAATTTGCTTGCCGATGATGCCGGTGGCTTCTGAGTGCCAACGGGCCCCCGTGGCTCACCGGGACTCGGTAAATGTACCCAGACGAAGGTGCGTTTCCACAAAAACATTCCACGAGGAACAAAGGAAAGATAACCGCGCGTCACTGACTCTTCTTCTTCTTCACGCTCACAGACTCTGGCAGATTTTGTTCGTCTTACTTTGAATGCGTCGTGTAGTATTCCAAAAGCTGAGTTGAATGTTGTTGCTATGAATTCTATTCAATATAAAAGTGATATATGTACTGTTATCATAGGGTTCTGCATACGGTTTAATTTGGTTTGTTGTTGCGCCTTTTTGCTGTACTGCACGTCGACACTGGGAACTCTGTACATCAAAAACCCCAAACACTGCTGTCTGTTGACTAGAGAAGATCTATTAGTGCTCACGATATTCATTTTGTTCTGGTTGTAATGAAAAATATTTAGTTTGAAAGCAGGAGTGATGACTCTATTAGCGGTGTGTGAAGAGGTCATCGTCTCTTTCCATTCATGAGAGAGCTTTGCAAGTGAGCAATAATGGAATCATTTCCCATCTTATAATTACCAACAACATCACAGTCCCGCTTGATTTGCTTAGTATCCATTAAAAACCCTCATGACCAATTAGGGGCTCGGGACGGTTTAACCTGCCGGCACCTGGAACGTAATTGTCATTCAGACGGCACGTTGAGGACTGAAAGCAGGCGACCTCCCACCTCGACTCTCGGGCCCTGCACCAAAGTCAACGGGACTAGTTTCACCTGGACCACATTAGACCGTCACCGATTCTGTGCTTTTCTATCGAGTTGTCAAAGAGCCGCCGACGTCGCGCCGCTGTTCACCAGACGCAGGTGGACGTCTCTCGTTTTTGAAAACGTGTCGGGTTTTTTTGCGTGAATGTTCGGCACAAGAATAAAAAGGTCACCATCACGTTCTGCTTCTTCTGGTCTTTGTAACTGCTCTTGTTTCGCGTCGCGTTTGTACGATTAAACTCTTCCTTCTTGCAGCGAGTGAGTGAGGTCATCAAGGGGACAACGAGTTCATTACGAGCAGGTATGAAGTGACAAGCGAACCCTTTAAAGGTTCCTGATAACCTTTGTCATAGTTAAAAGAATACATATCATCAGTTACTTTACCCTTTATATTGGACCACATTTAAGTGCACTTAAATGTTTTGCAGGAAACTAAATTGTATTTTACTACACTTCATTTTACTATAATCATGGACTATATATTTAAATATAAGTTCCACTGACATACACGTTTGAATACATTTATAGTTATAAATACATTTAAATCATATTTAAAGTATTTTAATATGAAATGGACCTAATTATTTAATGGCAGTTAAATGTGCTTAGGTTTATATATTTTAGTTCCACTGCTTTAATGTCATTCTAAGAAACACTTTGAATCTGTGCACTTAATCTACTTTCCAAGAGAGTAACACTCTCTGAAATGAACCATACGTGAGAATAAAGCCCTCCACAACTGAGCCATGATATAAAATGTCTTATTTATTCATTTATCACACAGAATATTTGTTAATAAAACATCTGCAAAAAAAAAGGAAACTGAAATAAACCTCCCTCTCTGGATCCTTCCATATAAAGGGATGCAACTGAGATCATTTTCAAGCACAAACGCATCACTCAGAGTTTCTTGCATAGGATTCACCGGCTTTACTCAGCGGCGCACTTCACTGACCCCGTTCACTCGCCCGAGGGCCGCTTCTGTGCACAGTCCGTCCTGCAAGCGGGAGGCGGGAGCACGAGCAATTGCGCTAATCGACCTGAACTCTTTCGGCGTGTGAAGGTTTGTAGCCGCCCCCCCCGGCGCTGCGTTGATGAACCCCTTTGAGGCCCCCGACGCTACACACCTCTGTTCTCTCCACTCTCAACAAAAAAAAGGTTCTCATATTTACAAGCGTGACGTGAAAATAAAAATACTCCAAAAGACGCCGTCGCGGCTTTGATTCTCTGGGTCGATTGAGAAGATGATGAGGAGAGCGCGGCGTCGTCTCTGGTGCACATCAAATTAACAAATGCCATAATCCCTCGACGTAATCCCTCCAGTAATCGCCATTATTTATACTTCTCTTAGTTCATATGAATGTCAGCGTTTATTTACATAACCGAGTGTTGGGGAGAAAATGCTGTAAACGTTATAAAAGGACTTTTATGATCACATTTAGGGTTGCGTTGTCAGATTATAGTTGTGTGGTCCGTCACTTTTGCATCAATACAACAAAAACTAGGCTTTCACACAGAAGACAAAAGCGAAACAAGGTCATCTAAAAACGCTCATCTCACCCAACCAGCACACATCCGCGTAGTTTATCCAACATTCTGGATTAGCTTCATGTTGCCGCTCAGCTCTCGGTTGGACTCTGGTGACACTCGAGTGGATATTAAGTTCTACTGCTAATTCAAGTATAAATGTGGGTTAGATTGAAATGAAGTACAGAAGGCATAATCGTATCCGTGTCCACACACAAGTTCAGGTGATCTACTGACAAACCTTAGAAGGACGTAGAAAAACAGGCTACTGTGGGAAAAGAACTGCGCGTTGATCTCCAGGACGTCTGAGGATCAAATGGACAATTTCACCTAAAAACATAAAAGAATCGCACATTTCGAGTCCTCTTTGTGACGCGCGTCATGTTCACGGCTGTCGAAGAGGCCCCTTGAGGACATTGTCACAAAGCGCCTGTCAGGTGGCGTATTTCAGCTTCGGCGTCTGTGAGTTACACGAGATGCTGCAGAGGGACGGGAAGCCGGCGGGGGTCGCGTTGCCTTGGCTCTCCACGAAAATCGGGTCCAGGCAAGCGACTTTGGCGGCGAAAAAAGCGTGAATACAATGAAGCACGGCGAAGAGGTTTGAGAACTCCAGCTCCTGAAAGACATTATAAAAAAAAAAAAGGTCCCGTTGAATAAGCGTTTCCTCGAGACGGGAGCGTGAACGTTCTCTCAAAGGGAATTACCTTCGCTTCAATGGATTTGGAGTCTTGATTTTGGAACAAAAACTTGATCTTGCTTTTTCCGTCGTCGGATGATCCTTTAAGTTGAGAGAACTTGTATCTCCACAGGACGGCCTGAGGAGCCGAAACCACAGAGATGAAAATAGCCAAACAACTTCCCGGCTTCATGAATAATAACAATTAAGCGCGGACCCAGTGAGCGATGGAGCACGGCAGCAGATACGAGATGTATTTATGCACGAGGAATATTTAACAAGCCGCAGAGATTTCAGCCACTCAATTAGCGTTGAACCGAATGCACAGAAGTTGCACAGTGAGCCGGGAGACGGCTTCCAGACGCGCACGTGCAAGCGCTCCCGCTCCCGCCATCGCCGCGACGCCAATCAGATTAGCGCCGGCAGAAAGGACTAATGTTTAGAGAGAAGCTTTCCAAAGGAGAGCAGATGTTCACGAAAGACGGAAGCGTAACGGGGGGAGCGACACCTCCCCAGGTTTCCCTTACATCCCACTCCGAGTGTGACGGGCGTGACGACATCACCGTCTCCATCACGTGCAGTAACACGTTATGGAGTCTTATGGAAACGTGCTGGTTAAATTCCCATGAGATTCTGCTTGGATTTATGTTTTGTGATGTTATATTCCTCCACTTTACAGGGAGGTGTCGTATATATTTCCCCCCTAACGAGACAGCGTCTAACTCGACGTGCTCACATTATAATTAAAGATAAATTGCTACAGATTAAATAAGCCAACAGCATAAATGGATTAGGATAATTTAGTTTGTTCTGACCAGCTACATTAAACTAAAGTATTAAACATTAATGGAGCCGTAAGAATTAAACAAAATTGCCTTTTGATTTCAAATCTGAAGTTTGATTTTGATTAAAAACAGAAGCCATCAAGCCAAACAGACGATATGTTCCTCTCCTGGGAATGATTTGATAATATTATTTCGGACATTATTTGTATCATATAGATTAAAAAAATGATTTTCAGGACCGCTACACAATAGCTTGATACTATTTTATGGCCTCTCTGATCTTTGTGCAGGAGGGTAGGATACCAGGAGGGAAAAACCATCCTTAAGATATTAAAAAACACATTGAAAGATTATATTCAATCTTTCAATTCAAAACTTTGTACCTTTACCTTTATACGGTGCAGCGTGCATGATAAACAACAAAAACGGCGCCATGGAAGAAGATCTCTGTCGTATGCACAGCGCTTCTGATTGGGACTTATTCTAACGCGCTTTTTCAAGTTTGCCAAAGCAGCTTTTAATCCCAAAGTAATCCCAGGCAGCGCTTTGTCTGCCATCGCAGTTTACACACAACATTCATATCGTCCTTTGGGGACATTGTTCCGCTTCGCACTGCGGGAACCAGCGCCAGAAAAAGCCTGGAGGGCGATATGGTGGCGCTCCCGTCCCGCTCGTCCACGTAACGTGCACCGTCCGATCCCTAACCCCTAACCATCGTTCCTATCCCCTAACCCTCATTCCTATCCCCTAACCCCTAACCCTCATTCCTAACCCCTAACCATCATTCCTATCCCCTAAACCTCATTCCTATTCCTATCACCTAACCCTCATTCCTTACCCATAACCCTCATTCCTATCCCCTAACCCTCATTCCTTACCCTAACCCTCATTCCTATCCCCTAACCCTCATTCCTTACCCTGACCCTTATCCCTATCCCCTAACCCTCATTCCTTACCCTAACCCTCATCCCTATCCCCAAACCCTCATCCCTATCCCCTAACCCTCATTCCTTACCCTAACCCTCATTCCTTACCCATAACCCTCATTCCTTACCCTAACCCTCATTCCTTTCCCCTAACCCTCATTCCTTACCCATAACCCTCATTCCTATCCCCTAACCCTCATTCCTTACCCTAACCCTCATTCCTATCCCCTAACCCTCATTCCTTACCCTGACCCTTATCCCTATCCCCTAACCCTCATTCCTTACCCTAACCCTCATCCCTATCCCCAAACCCTCATCCCTATCCCCTAACCCTCATTCCTTACCCTAACCCTCATCCCTATCCCCAAACCCTCATCCCTATCCCCTAACCCTCATCCCTTACCCTAACCCTAACCCGACCGCTTCTCAGAGCCGGGGGAAAGGCCTATATGAGCAGCGGGGGAGGGAGTGAGAGGTTTCAGCTCAGGTGAAGAACCGGGATGCAAACCGTGCAGACTAAGTAAGCAGCACGGAAAAGAGAAAAAGGAGAAGAGAGGCTGCGGCGTGGCGATTGGTGCGTGTAGGACGTGGCGCCTGAAGGCTCTCCTCCGCATTTGTGTCGCCGATAAAGCGCCACACTCACCTTTGAAGCGGCGTCAAAGCACACAAAGCCCGCGCCGAAGTCGACGGTTAGTCCCATGAGGTGGCTCTCCATGATGCAGGCGTACGTCTTACACTGCGGAACGGGAGAACAAGACGTTACCCACAAAAAAACTACGACGACCGAGGTGGAACCGTGCGCCGAATGAGAACCGGCCAACAGCGGCCTGCTGTTGGCGTGCTGACCTGTATCCTCTCCACCTCCAGGAAGGTGGCCATCTGAAAAGCCTTTTCCCAGATCAGCAGCTCGCACTCCAGCTCCACGCTGAAGAACAGGTCCTCGCCGCTCTCCGTCTGGACGCCGAAGCAGTGCTTCCTCTTGTCCAGAAGGTCGTTGTCCTGAGAGAAGACAGTGCGGCCGCCGTGCTGATCAGTCACAGATGAGGCAAAGCAGCGGCGATGCAGTTTCCTGCAGCTGAAGGGAGCTTTGTTCACTCTGAGGACTGTGGCTTCAAGAGCTCTTAACCAACACTTAAATACGAGCTGAACTAGACAATATGTTGTTTTCTCTCAATGTCTCCAGCATTCTCCAAATGCTCAAGGAATGACACCCAAGCGGTTGCCTTACCTTTAAGATCTTGCACATTATTTCGTACACAGTAAAGCTTTTCTCTGCTCTGGTCCAGTCCCACGTGGTCACCTGAAACGTGCCGCACAGAAGAATGAAGCAAAAGTCAAAAACAACTAAAGGAAATCCCACCACTCTTCTCGCTATTCATGTGAAAATATACATATGACATTTGGCAATGATCGGTTTCAATTTACCAGCAAAAAATGTTTCAATGAATTGCTGAAAACACTGTTTTTCAGTAAAAAAAACACCTACTTGTGTCAATCAAATATTTTTCAAAATAAATGGATCCGCTATTTTTCCCTCTCAAAAGCAGCCCAAGTCCTACTGCCCAAACAGGACAATCGCTGTTTGGGGTCAGGGGTCAATTACTGACGAACGCCGTGGATTCCATAACCTCGAGGGGGGAAATATTCCCCAGACTGAGCCTTCGGTGACGAAGTCGTCTTCTGCACCGTCCACTCGGATTAGCATACTCCGATTTATATATCTATGCGAGTTGAGCAGCCGATTCCCGGTTTCCATCAATCTTTTCTCATCAGCAGCTTATCCTGCTTGTCATAATCGCCTAAGTGGCTGGTGGAACGTAAACAGGTTTAATGATGATCATCGATCAAGACGAGGATCGATGCGGCAGACGCACGATGGTCGAGCTGCTTCCTACTTTTCTTTCTCCAACAGGAAAACGGTTTCTCCTCCAACAATCCGACCTCGTACTGCTGGCGGCTTAATAGAGGACGCTGGTGAGAGCGGATTGAGGGCCGAGGCAGAACTTACGGGAGGCGCCGAAAACTTAAAGAGGGAGGAGCCCCGCAGGGCGAGGAACTTTGGTGAATACATCCGGTCCTGGACGGAGTCCTGCTCCTTCTCGTCCACCCAACCCATGTAGATGATCTGTCATGGGGCACAGAGTCAGGAGGACTTACAGCATGGGTCAAAGGTCAAAGTTGGGGTGGAGGATACGGAAATACATGGAATGATGGGGTGTGTCCTCATCCCATGACGCTCTTAAAGATGAACTTTCAGGTAATCCTGCTTTTGTTTCATCCAGGAGATCAAATATGTGACAAATGAAGGTACCAAACCCCTGAAGTATTCAGGAGGAAACAGAAGATACAGAGTGAGAATGCAAAGCAGATGTTCTGAGACACGCTTTCAAAAATCAAGTGTGTCTCAACATCGGTCCTCATTAAATTCTTTGTGACTGCGACAAAAGTGAAATGTCTGCGTGAGTTCTTTCCCCCGAAAAAAGAAAAAACGAGCGAGTAAAAGATTCGGGACAAGAAACTCGCGTCAGAAGCCGCTTTATTTCTTTTTAAGAATCGTCAAGTGAATTCACATGTTTTTGTGCCAGAAAAAGCTAAACAATGTAGTGACAAAACAGCGGCCTTATTGGCTCCCCGTGTCGAGACGGAGTCAGCTGACTGATCATTTCAACGTCCTCCGCGTGTCCCAATAGTGGGAAAGAATTCGGGTTTGATCTCGTGACGGGATGAGGACAAAATGCACAGATTAAAGTCAGATCTCTACAAGCAGCTGCTGCCGGGAGGAACGTCTTACCTGCTGGTTAACTGGAAAATTTCGGTTAATCTTCTTCACCTGTTAAATTAAACATGAACATCAATAACTCATTAAAATAGCTTCTGCTAACAAGTCAGACAATCATTACCGGCAGAACATCCAACAGTGGTAGTACATCCATCAGTAACGTGTCTAAGAACAAATAAACTACGAATCACGGGATGTGTGCTAACATGCTAACCGCAGAGCTACTTGATTTATTCAATGCATGCCAATTACAAAATGAGACAGATAGTCATTCCCACAAGGACCCCAGGCTCATTTCTCCTAAAAAGAAAGAAAAGGAATCCATTAAAAAAAAAATCCATTCTCTCTGTGATAATAAAGGCGTGGAAACTACCAAGAGAGCAGTCATGCTTTAAATTAAAACATTCTGCTCAGATCACAGGTACCACTCGCTCCCAATCCTCTTCCGTACTATGAATATGACTCCGTCTTTGCAGAAGAACGACGGTTTAAGCCGTCCGGGTCCAAACCCGTCGTCCTACAGAGGCGAGTAACCGCTGCTTGGTGCGAGACGTTTGAGGAGTTTCAGGTACCTGTCGAGGTGTGACGCGGGGGCCAGATGTTCGGGGGCAGACAGGCCGCTTTGTGGGCTTGTTCACATTCAGCTGTTTGGTTGTTGTGACAGCGGGTCGAACTCGCGGCGTCCCAACAGGGACGTGACTGATGGTTTTCCTCGAGCCAAAGTGAAGAACCGAACTGTATTCAACCACTGGAGAGACGCGGCGGCGCCGTCGTCCCGATGTGCCTAAACGAGTCATCTGATAAGACACAAGAGACTGATGTGTCCTCCAATGTGACTCATGTGCTCTGTCATGGGACCTGGGCCTTAATAGACCGTTTATTATGCTCATGATTTGCTAGATCATTATATATTATAGGAGACAACAAGCTAAGTCATTTGAAAAAGAAATGCAAAGGATGAATTAAATTTGTGCCTTTTTGTCTCATTCTTTCCCTTTTAACATGTGGGGCATCATTCTATTATTTAAAAGTCAAAATATCTATGAATATTTTGACTTTGAATAAGCGATAAAACAAGCCCCCGAAACGTTCTCTTGTTTCTCTGGGGGGTCTCTGGCTGATCCTCCTCTTGATAAAAATCAATCAATAAAATTCCTTTATTTGTCTCTAAAGGGTGATGCAATGTGCATCAGTGAAAACAAAAAGCACAGAGACCTTTCACATAATATTCAAAAGATACAAAACATTTAAATACAAAGTACAAAATGTGGAATAATACATTTTTTTAAATAATTGCACATGAGGCATTAAATGATTATAAATAAGTTATTATTATATCTGTTATGTTGGTTTAGGTCTCACTGAAATATCGCAGCAATCAGTGGACATTTATGTTCACAAAATCATTTTTCTTTAATCAATGTTTTTTTGGGGGGGGTTTGTGTTTCGGGCCGGTAAACAAATGTAAGCATGCTAACGTTCTGACATAAGATGCTAGTAAACATTGTACCGCAGCACGTTAGCATTTAGCACAAAGCACCACGGTGTTTCCAGGGCAACAACAACCAATCTCCTCCTCCATCGACATCACCGCTGCTTTCATAGTGTCTTCTCAATCAGACGTGTCCGTTTGTTTCTCCCAGCGGGAGATCTTAATGTTCTGCATCCATCCGGGTTCCTGCGGCTCACTCCGTAAGAGCAAAGAGCGGAGGATGAGAAAAAGCACCATTCTGGCAGTGAGTGATCAGTGTAACGTTCAGCACGTCCTCCACTTCATCCACTCCAATTAACCAGGCCTCCATTATCCCCGGGAGAGACTCTCACACACACACACACACACAGCCAGTGGACACACCGCTGTAACCGATCCCTGTTTCCGCTGCTGCCCACTTCCCTCCGCGTTCATCGGCACCGACTGCTCGCATAACGTCTACGGTGAACAACGTATGGTCTGCTGATTGGTTACGCGCCTAAACATGTTGAGAAATGTGTCAAAATCAGACACCTCTTGTCGCCTTCTGAATGATTCACAGCACACGATGGAGCTTGTTAGCGGTATTTGTATTTGACCCCCTCCTCCATCTCGCTCAGCATCATCACCCATCTGGAAACACGCTCCTTTTTCTTCTTCTCCTCTTGACAACATGTTCACAACAAGAGAAAGACACCAACCAGCCTCGGCTCCTCGCTGCCTCTTGCTATCACTTCTGTTTAGCGCGTAATGTTGAATTATAGATATTAAGTGCCCGGCTTTGGCCGCAGGGAGTGAGTGAGGTGGGGGGGGGGCCGCGGGCCCGCGATGGCGTTCTTCACTTATGGAGTGTCACGAAATGCTGTGACATTTGCAAAGGGACTCTAAGACGAAAGGCTCCCCCCCTCCCTCCCCAACACGACGTGTTGTTTGTTTACAGCGCGAGGCGGCGGCGGCGGCGCCGACGCGTGAGTGTTATTATTACTCACATTGTGCTTGGTGAGACTGGAAATGTTGCTCGCCAGGGCCTGCAGCCAGTCCAGGCAGTCGTCCGCTGTGAGGAACTGCAGCACGCCGCTGCAGACTCCGTCCACGGCGATTACCTGGAAAGCGTTTTTCCTAAAAGAATAGCAGAGATTTCGGGGTGATTGCACGAACCGGCAGCGCCGATTGAGCGCACTCAGGGAAGCCGTCGCGTTGTGAACTCACTCGCAATATTACATTTCTGTCAACGTTGCTTTAGTTTGAGGTGAACAAAGCAATTACGCCCAACGCCTCAATGAGAGAAGGACATTGTTTAACAATCCCTCTGAAGCTGCCATAAGCGCGCTCTTTGGCCACTGGACCAAGGGAAGCAAGTTTTGCGAACGCCACGTGGACATTTTGTCCCCCTTTGGGTCGATATAGCAAACAGCTAATTTCCAATCCAGCAGTTTGGAGTCGTGTTTCTTTTGCGATCGACTGTGAGTCAAATATTAAACCTCTTTTAGCGGCGTTGTTGATGTCAAACAACTCGGGCGGGGGAAAGAAAATGAAATGCTAATATGTTCTCCGGCTCGTCGCTAACGGCTGTCTGACGCTGACAACGGCTCTTAATGCCTGAAAGCGGCGTGACGCAGCGGCGCTGTAAGGAGGTGGTGACAGTGAACCAAAGCAGGGACGTCGCCATCGGACAGCTGAACAATGAGCGTAAACTCTCGGCTGCTCATGAAACTAAACGGGAGCTTCTTCTCTTCGCTACGAGCACGATTCGCACATTTGATAAATTGTGATCATAAAGTTATTATTGCTGCTCCTCACATATTATCGTGTGTTCAGAAAACCATTTTTGCAAAGTCTGATGTGCTAAAAGATCTTAAGTTGATCTTCATTTCTGCCCTAAAATAAAGTGAACCCATTGCACGTCCAATTAATATAAAAATGTATAATACTCATATGCAGTTTTCAGTTAACGGACTAAAACGTTAACTAAAAGTGTGGTCCATTAGGAGACGATCAGCAGAAGATGTGGTGTTTCTCTCATCCAGCTCTGAAGAGCCAAACGTCTTATTAAGTCAAACACTGCAGACTGTTTTGTGTTTGTCTAATTGCGAATGAAGGGGAATCAGAACTAAACATCGATGGCAGTCTGCTTCTTTCTGCATAAACTCCCATGCACTCGCCGAGTGGGCGGCGGCGGCGGCGCAGGAAGACACCGGCGAGCCTTCGAGTCCTGCAGCTCACCTGCAGACGTCAGAGCCCGGGTTGTACTGCGACAGGCGCGAGTGAAGCAGCGGAATGAGGCGCAGGTCCACCCATCTCTTCTCCCAGCGGAGCCCCGGGCACGCGGGCCACGACGAGCAGGACAGCGTGTCCTGCGGGAAGCGCGAAACGCTATTTAGAGGAGCCCGTCGTCCGCCACCTGTCACGCAGCCAGACAGCCGACGCGCACAGAACAGGAGTCCTGCCGCCGCTGCCGCCGCCGCTGCAGGTGCACACACGGGCAGGAAAAGCTGATTCAGCCTCCCAGAGAGATGGAGATGGATAGAGCGTCCCGGGCGCCGGTCGCATGGAAACAGCTTCCTGGCGCCGCTGCATGGTTACAGAGCGACGGCCGCAGGGTCAGGGGGGGTGGAGGGGGGAGGAGGGGGCTAATGAAAAAAAGTACCGTGTTGTTGGGGTGGTAGTTCAAGTGCAGGCCGCTGTCGCACAGAGGAGAGGAGGTCCCACTACTCTGGTCGCTGGGGACGCCTGAACGGACACACACACACACAAAAAACAAAGGTCACAGAGAGCCGAGCGACGCCGCGACCGTCTTCAAGGCCTCCGACTGGCAGTGAGCGTGTTACTTTGTTCTCCCCTCGAGTGTCGGCTCGCGCTCTTGTATTCAATTGTCGGGCGGTCGGACGGTCAGTCATGTGTGCGCATGAAAGGACGTTATGAGAGACTTCGTGTACGATGACAAGGATGAAGCTTCCCCTCGCAAGAGCAATCAATTGCACCACAATGGGCAGTGTCAATTCTTTCAGTTTAATCTTTACCCCCCCCCCCCCTCTGGCCGCCTATCTTCTCCAAAGTGAAGCAGCTGAATTTATGTTTTATCTTCTCAAAGTGGCTCTTCATTACGGCCCATTTTCAGCAGGACCACCGATCCTAATGAGGCAATAATATCAGCGGTGAATGCACGTGGTTCATTATTCTGCAGTGCGCTGTTGGTAATTAAAAGGCCTCTGCCGTAATTACAGGGTGCGTGTGGAGGGTTCTTACATGTGCAATCTTCACACAGGGGCAGTTTCAGGAAGGCCGGAGTCTTCTTTAGGAAAGAGACGGTAAGAGTCACTTCTTCGCCGGCATTTCTCAAAACCTGCACCTGGAAAGGTAAAATAACGGCGGATGTCTGTTTTTTTTGCAGGAGCTGCTTACTGCAATATTTTCTGCCAATGGTTTGCTGTAATGAAACGTGTCGCGCTGCCGTTTCTCTAAGAGTCGGAAGCCAAGATAAGAGATTTACACACATTTCCTGCAGTTACATAAAAAAAAAAAAAAAAAGCATGAAACAGAAACAATCGGCTTTACGTGTCAAAAAGATACAGATCCCTCAGTGAGACAAGATAAGCTGCTGAAGAAGCTGTTGCAAAACAGAAGATATGAGATGACAGCTTACCACTTCCTCGTGGCGATAACTTCTAACGTTTATTCCGTTTATCTGGAAATAACAGTAACAGGGTTACATCAAATAATACTGCTGGCATCAAATCACTGGAACTCCATCTTCAGAATGATTAACGAGCAAAGCGTAATAACCGCTGTGGCATCTGCGCCCAAATCCGTAAACAAGAGAGACACCATGAATACCGAGCGGATTGTGAACGTTTCCACCGCATCAGATGCTCAGAGAGAGGAATTTTCTCTTTTTTGTTTCTTACATTGTTCTGTAAGAAACAGTGTGTGGGAGCAGGATGAGGTGCGCAGACAAGAGCTTTACCTGAAGGATGCCGTCTCCGATGAAAAGCAGCCCAGAGAGTTCAGCTGGAAGTAAAAACAAAAAGAAAGAATCACCTCGGCAGGAACGAACCGCGGGACCGAAATGGATCGGACTACGTCTTTTCCAAAAACAACGATATACCTTTTTGTTCTTTTGATATCTTTGATATCACAACGGGTATTTTATGCTCCGCTCCACCCTGAGGACAAGTGGAAGTTCCATTGAATTACAAAAGAAGACACTCGAGAGCAACTCAATTTTCAGCAAAATCCTTACCTCATTGTTTCAGTCAGACAAGAGAATGATCAATAACACTCGTTCGGACTTAATTTAAGGCAGTCGGGACGAGGCGCCTAATCAGATGGATCTAAATTACCTTGATGCTCAGGCCAAAGCCTCCGATTGTCTGCCTCCTGATGGTTACAGTCCTCTCCTGCAACAGAGTCCGTTAGAGGAATGAGTTCAGGCTGAAGCCGAAGCAGCTTCACGACGCAAACGTAATCGTAATGAAATCAGATGGAGAAAGATTAAAAAAAGAATAGAAGAAATGAAGTTATACATCTGGGTTTAAGGTACATAAACCATTGCAGCTTATTCTAAATGATGATCTTCAATGATGAAGCAGAGTTAATGCTATATTAAATATCATTATCATTTTTTCACTTTTCTCATTTGATTTAATAGATGGAACGCACAATTACTGTCTGTAGTTTGTGTGTCTCTAGAATGAAGACGTGTAACAAAAGCTTTCTTTTAAATATGTGCGTGTAAGTTGGTCACCGAGGCTGAGAACGTCTCCGCTAGGAGAACCGTACACGCTAATGTTGTATCACGGTTGCATGTCCTCTTGCTTGCTTCACTCTAATTAGTCATCATGTTTCAGAGGACGCCGCCGCTTCCCCCATTTACCTTTGAGGCTTCATGCCGCAGCATTCCTGCATTAATAATTCCCTTTCCAGAGAGGTAACGGCCTCAGTGAATCAAAGAGCATATTTATTAATGTGAAGACAGTAGTGGTTTAATTATTAGGTAGCACTTCATACACCATCATCCAGCAGGTTAATCACTACATGTGAATCACGAGCAACCGATTAACTGATTGGTTGTCAGCGTGTCCTCGGCATCTGTGTGCTGACCTTAACGTGTCACGACACGATGCATCCACACGCACTGCTAAAGTACGTGCAACATCATTCGGTGCAAACGCTGCCGCGATCCTTTCTGTGTGTCAATCCAGGCTCGTTAAAGTAATGCGGCCTTTTCAAAATAAAGCGCCCTCTTCACAGAAAGCTCACTGAAGAACGTGTGAAGTGAATCAATCGGGGTTGAACGTTTTTTTGAGAAAAATCAAAGGAGGGAAACGCACGGCGACGCAGAGACGCCTTCCAGGTCAGTGAGGTGAGCGCGTGAAGTGGAACATGCGGCGTTTAGTGATCACGAGGCGTCGACGTCTGGGCTACTTACGCTGGAGTAAAAAGGCTCTCCTGACACGCAGATGACGTCTTGCTCTTGAATGGTCAGAATATCTCTGGCCAAGTGCAGTCGAATATTGAACGGCTCCTCGTTACCTTCTTGCATCAAATAAATCCCAGTCTTTGTCTGCAAACAGTCAGGAAGATCAAAATATTCAGCATCCCTCTGCAACCACATCAACTGGCCATGAAATGAAACACTTGCTGCAGAAATCAGGATATATGGAGCTTTGGCGATGTCCGTTATTTCACTTTATATGACTCTCCTTGTTGGTGCTATTGTTGGAAATAATAACCACATTCAGCACTGTGACTAATAAACACACACACACACGATTTATTTCTCAGGAGCAGCGTTTTACGAGTCGGATGCACACTGATGAGGATGATGGCAAATTAGGAACCTGTGAAATTAAGCGGCCCGGAACCGAGCTCGCCCTCCGCATTTGAATCCCCCCCCGTTTCCAATGATGCATTTAAAACGCGCTAATCCGCATAAATCTGCATTCTGTGTATCTTCCCTCCTCCCCGGCTAATTGCGATGCCCGTCCTGTCCTTGACTGAGAAAAGGGTCCAAATAAAAGAAGCACCTTCGCCAGACGAGACTGCTGATAGAAAAAACACTCCAGCGTGAGCGGCCTTGTCAGCCGCCGCGCGCCGCTCGTCGGGTTAACAAGGCGCGCGGCGGCTATTCTTTCTCCACTGCGGGTCAGGCGTGAATCGAAGGCATCGCCTTCCCCACTTAATTAAGAATGTGAGGAAATGAGCCGTGCTGGAGGAGACGAGGGGGGGGGGGGGCGTCATTCATTTCACGTTGTTTCGAAGTGATGCGCGTGCGAGAGCCGTTAGCCGCGCGGCCGCGTGCGTCGGCCATCGTTGTTTGACCCGCTGTGGCACTTTTCACCGCGCACAATTAACCTTAATCTGCGGTCCCGTTGCGCGCTCATCTATCACCGTCCCCCCGCCAACAGGGGTCGGCATCGTCCTCTCCGAGCTGCATGTGCTGCATGTGAGCGTCTTCCATGCAGCACATGCAACGGGGGCTCTTTGGAAGTTAAGGCAGAAACCCTTCTGAAAGAGCAGCCGCCTCGGTTTGACAAACAACACACCAATACGTGTATAATAATATTATTAGGGCGGGATAAGAACAGTAAAACTGAGGAGAACGGCGTGCAATCATAATAAATAAATGTCCTTGTTATGGAGCCGCTGCATCAGCCTGTTTGGTTGTGCGTGTTCACGTGTTGATTAAGTTGTTTGTGTGGGTGTTACACTGGATACATCAGGAGGAGGGGGGGTTCTGAGGCTGCATATATGCACACGGCCTCAGATTTATGTGCTGCCTCACCGATGTGCTCTCAGCGATGTGGTTTCCGGCCCTTTCTGTAATCAGTCAATTTGCTGTCAAAATTATGAATTGATTAAATCCCACCAACCTCTTCATTTGAAGTCTTGAAATCCATGTGCTACTACGCAGTGAGGGATGCTGCAACGGTGAATGAACAAGGCCCAGTTAGTCCCTGCAGAGAAATGCTTAATGACACATTAAGAACTCGCTGTAGCAAAAACCCACAGCCGATTTCAACCAGGATCCTCATTTTCCTCAAAGTTCTGCCTTTCTCCAACAATCCCAGGAGAATACTGGAGACCATTAAGCCGTGATAAATAATTCATCTGCACAGGTGAGAACCCAGGTTTCCTAATAAATGTTTTAACTTTGAATCCGCTCCCAGAGAGGAAACTGTGCTGCCCGTCTTATCAGTTAAAGCGCCACAACCTGCTGTGTAAAGAGCAACACGCCGTGCACTGAACCCGTCGCGCAAGAAGACGAAGCCGCGACGGAGCGGCAGGCGAGGGCCGGCTGGACGACTCGCCTCAGTAGAAGGGCCCCCGGTGCTTCGTGCGGTGAGATCCAGCCATCGAGCGGAGGGCCTCCCCGGATCGTGGCAGTGGCAGAGACTCGGGAGAGCGCCGCTGTCACCTCTCCTGGCCGGGCCGCGGGAGGCTGCAGAGACAGGAGGGGTCAAGGAGGTCAAGGGGGTCATTCTGATACTGAGGCCCTCCTGCTGCACCTGCATTTAAAGCCTTAAAAAAGAGGGTATTGTTGATTGAATACTTCTCTGGGTCTGAATCGACGTGACAGCACGGATGGCTGTAAAGTCACGTCAGCGCATGGGACGTTTTTACCCCCAGAATAGGCACCCGGTGTGCGACAAACGGAGGTTTGCGAATCCCACCGCTCCCCCCGTCGACGAAGGAGCCTCTCGAACTCTTTGCTCGTGTAAAAACAAAAACCCTGTGGATTCAGTTTGCGCGAACGCCAAAGCGCAATTAACTCGCATTCTTCCATCTTTGTACGCCGAGCACAAATGACTCCAACAGCACGGCCTTGCCCCCCCCCCCCTTGTTAGTTGGCATTGTTGGCTCGGCGCCACCTTTCGCTCGCTTCACTGCAGGGGTCTTCAATATTTAGTTTCCCTTACTTGGAGGTTATTTAACCAAATCAAAGCGGCCGAGAGCTCAGTCGGCGCTTTAATGACTCGTTTGCGAAGCGTCTCTGCGTGCGGAGTGAAGGATAAACTGTTACCGTAACAAGCAGAGCAACAACACTCACATGAGACCGTTTGTGTGGATTCTAATTTGAAAGAGACTTTATTGTGCTCGTAATTCCAGATAATATGATAACAAATTAATATATTTCCAATTTTATTGTATTGATTGTATATTTGAATTAGTTTGCTTGATATCGTTTGGCGTTGGAGTTGCGTGGTTTCATCTGATTTATTGTTATTGTGTCTTGAGTGTTGTGATAAAGTGAACCCATTAACGAGCATCTCATCCCGCACACACAGTATTCTGCTCATCATCAGGACCACAGTTCAATGGATCTTCTCCCCATCAAGCTTTTTATATTCAGTTTGTGTTGGAGAGGTTTATTCGCCGTCATAATCATTGTAGTTTCGTGGTGCTGTTGATGGTAAATATTCACTGTTCGTCTTAACGTCCCCGTGTGGAGATATTTTATAAATCAAAAGACTCGACGAATTGGCAAAACGTGCCGCAGAGAACGACCCATAAATAAAACAATCATTTGAAAAAAAAAAATGATGCAGAATCTGCAACGTTACTCGAGGAGGTTCGTGACTCGCATCTCTTATTGATCATAATGATTCTCGATAAATGTGCGTTTTTTATCGACTTTAGAGATTCAATCTGGGGAAGCAGGCGGGCTTCTTCCAGCCCGGTCCGGCCGCCGGAGACGAGGCGGCTCCGTGATGGATGGACCAGGAATCCTGACATCATTTGTGAACCTGCTTTTAAGAGAAACGTCCTCACGTGGTCGGCGTGGGTCTGTGGCTGGTGGGCCGGTACTTTGTCTTAGCAGGACCCCCCCCCCTCCCTCCCGCCCTCCCCCCAACCCCCTCCCCCCAAACTGACTTCTTATGCGAGAGTCCATAGATGAAATAAACGGGGCCTTTTGTCCCTTTTTAAGTCGAGTCAGCGTGCGTCCTTTCTTACAACCATCAGATATTTTCCCTCCGACCAATTTGCTCGCTAGTTTTTTTCAAACACCGCTTTTGTCTGCGACACAAAGGCGAGCGGCGCAGAGGTAGATCGCCTCAATGGACGGGAAGATTGCGACGTGACATCTCCGTCTCTCAGGCCCGAGGACGGCCGAGGGCGGCCGTGGCCCCCGGCGGGACGGTGAAGGGCCCCCGGATGGGTCGATGAAGGGCCCCCGGCGTGGTCTCTGACCCGACGCGGACGGCGCGGATTGGTAATTTGACGAGCGATGACAGCGGACGTTACGTTACTCAACGTGTTGGCTGTTTGACTTATTTTTGTCATCTTGAGAGGAACAAACATTTGAGTTCTTTCTACGCCCTCTTAACTAATGAGAGACTGATCCGTGTGCTGATTTTTGAAATGTTTTTGGCTCTTCTTCCTGTGAGGACTTGTAGATTGATCCAAATCCAGAATTGTTTGGCAGATTTTGCGTCTCTCGTTTTTTCCCTTTCTATGTGTCTGCTTGACGTTGTTGTTCTTTCTCCTCTTTCCTCGTATTTGTGTTGAATAGAGTTTTTCTGGCCTTGTGGAAACGTTGTGGACGTGTGAAGGCTTATTTTCGTCTCAAACTGGAGAGCTGTATCTTTGGGTTCGCCTTGGCCGTAGAATTGGAATTGAAAAGGGACGGTTTCATCAAATATGCCTCGTTTAAAAGTTCTTTATCATAATTGATTCATCTGTTGAAGATTTCCCGCAGTAAGTGAGGGTTTTGTGTATAAAAACACCAAAGCCCAGAGAGCAGTGTGCAGAGCGCGTGTTTTGTTTGACCGACAAACTAGTTTGATGACATTCGATTGATCGTCAGTCATGAAGGACCTGAAGGCATCTTCGTACGTCTCTGTGGGACTTTCTGTCAACGGTGAAGCTCAAAAGAAAATGAGTCGTTTCATTATGGCTTCATTTGCTGTTTTTCTTTCCCTCCTTTCAATGTTTGCTCCATAAAATCTCAAAAAAAGGAAAAAAAAGAGCCCAAAGGAGGAATCTTCAACCTGGTGTTTTGTTCTGTTGACGGTGAAAAACGTGCACATCTCATCCGAACGTTTGACGTCTGCCCTCAGAAAACTTCGCCGTCGCTCCGTCGAGCATTCGCTTCGGTTCTGACGGGTCTGAGGAACCTTCCCGAAACCCGAGTGGCGCGCGGGATCCTCTTCGCCCGCCAGTTCCTGCCGCGTAATTAATACAGCGAACCCGCCTCCGCCTGTTTGAACACAGTTGCACGTGTCGTATTCAGCCGGGGCTCCTTCGCGCGCCGCGGGAGGCGCTAACGTCTCCTTCTTTGCTTTCAGATCAAACTCCAGATGGATCGTCCCGCTTTCCATCCGTTTCGGAGCGGATTGTCAAACAGGAGAAGTCGGTAATTTCCTCGCGAGTCAACACCTGGGTCCCGTGGAGCGCTGCAGGCCCCGAGGCGCGCCAGTAAATTAGTGAGGGCCACGTTTGCAGACGGGGGCCGACATGACGGATGCATGTCGGCCGGCAGCGGCGAGCCTCCAGACGTTAGACGGGTGGCATCGGGAATCAGTTTTTTTTTTAAACTGCTATCAGGCAGCAGCGGGATATTAAACTGTAAGTCCTTCATACTGACGCGGCGCTTAACCGGATTTCCTTTTGTCTTTAACACGTGTGCATAAATGGATTGAGTCAAGCATGTTATCTTACACGAGGGTCTTAAATAGGCTCATCAAGTGACCTCAACACCGACTAACCAACTTCACTCTTTTAATTGTGCCATACGAGTAGAGAGATTTTTGTGTTTCAACCATACAGGGGAAGATCCGTGTGTGTGTGTGTGTGTGTGCGGAGGACATGAAAGGATTAAAAAAGCTGGACCACGTCGAGGGAAACATCTGCTCATTTGCTTAATATAAGTTAAGGAAAATACAGAACTGTCTCTCAGTTGCTCCGGGAAATTATTTATAAATTCAAACTGCCTGACGTGAGACTAATGAAAAGATCTCAAATAGTAGAGCGCCTGAGTGGAGATAAAAGCATCAATTAGAAACTAATGAAAATCATATGTTTACTTTATTTCCTAGAGGACTTTTATGACTCCCTCAAGGTAATTCACAGGGGGCGAAATCTGATGAACTGCATCAAATGTGACTACGCAGACCTCCGGAAGGAGCTAATGACTATTCGCATTATTACTTTTTTTGACGGTATTTTAAAAGATTTCTTAAAAAAAAGGCAAATTCAATTGCGGGAAAAAGACTGAAACAAACCCGACACGTTCAGCAAATCCCCAAATCTGGAGCTGGAGTCAGAAAAACGCTAACTTCAAGGAACAGTTCAACCCAGAACCTACACATCGCTCTCTCACCAGAGGTGCTACTGGTCAGTGCAGATCGCTGTGGTGTGACTCGCCCCGTTTTGAAGACATCGGCCTTGTGGCGTTTTTCACAACCGTCAAGTCTGTTGTTGTTTTTTTGCCCTCGTAAGCAAAAACACTGTGAAATGGGTGAATTGCTGCTGCCGGCGGTGTGACTACTCGCAGGTCTTCAAATGTCCCGAAGAAAACACAACGACACACTTCACAGTGCGCGAACATTAATCAAACGTGACCCTCACTTGTCGGCGGAGGGATCCGGCGCCGGAGCTGTACAGGCGACACCCTCCGAGGGGCTTTTTCTTGGTTTTGTCACCAGCGTGGAATCTCCACCCTCGATGCTTCACCCGGGGCGGTTACCACTTGCAGAGCGCTGGTTTGTGTTGCAGTCCCCAACCTCTGAATCAGATGCTCTGCTATATGAGGCGCATATAAATGAGAGTTGTGTCTTCTGTGGCCCCCCCCCCCCTCCGTCCTCCCCCCCCCCCCGCAGCGGGAATTCGGTGTGCATTCGCTTCATTAGCCGTCCGCCCGCGTCCGAGGCGGCCTAATGGTTTTCTCGTTGCACGACGGGCCGCGACTTCGTGGCACAGACTCGTAGTGTTTTATTTTCCTGCACTGTCTGAGGGAGATTGATGCTGCTCCTGCAGTCTGTGCCGCTCGTACATCACGACGCCGTAAAAAAAAAAAAAAAAGAAATAAGCAAAAAGGCATATGGCTCTTCCGGAGAGTCGCACATCTGGAGCGGTCTGTACGGATGGTGGAGCAGACCACAGAAACATCAGGTGTGATGCGTTTTCCTCGGGGGGCTCTGGGGCTCGCTGGTGATGAAGACGTCCGGCCTCACGGTGACTTACTGCAGGCTCCCTCAGCTGCCCTTTACACGGGACAACCGCTGCAGGAAGATACTCGCTCTATTTTGAGGATCCGTTTTTGAGAAATGACCAAACACCTGCAGCCTCGTGCATTTTCTCTTTTCCCACTTCTTCTCGTACTGATTGCTATTTGTCTTCTTATGTTCTGCATCATCTGAAGCGCAGGGCTCCTTTCTACGATCACAACAGTCAGCGAATGAAGCATCATGAAGTCCTGCTTCACTCCGGGTCCTGAAAGTGCGTCTTACATGTATGAATATTACATGTCCAGCTGCTAGGGGAGCGTCGCAATGTTTTAAATGTTGTTAACACTCTAAATTGATGCATCTGCAGCTTCCAGCGATGCCTCGGGACAAGCTGTCCCACGTGCACGCGTGGAGACGTTTAACCCGGTCCAGATTCTTGAACCCCCGGATGGGAATCAGCTGCAGGAGGGACAGCAGGTTATTGATTAATGAAGTAAGGGAGATTAAGTGTGGGGGAACTCTTTGTTGTGCTGTGCAGACGTTGTTTCCAGGATCACGATCGATGCCGGCGATCTTTAGATCGTGATTGTGTCATATTAAACTTTACGATAGTGTGTCGCCGTCCCCCCCCTCCACAGTCCAGGTTATCAACAGATCCAGCCTGCGACACAGCATGGGGGACTCAAGCACGCCCCCCCCCCCTCTCACCTGACATATTGACCGGACATGGCTGACACCACTTCAATCAGGCCGGATTTTCCGCCAGTGTCACTTGGCAGAACCGCTCCTTGATTTAGGACTCAAGCAGAAATGGGAGGGGGGGGGGGGGGGTGCGAGTCCGTTGGAAGCGAGACCTTCGGTGCACCAAGCCGATTGCTCCTGACCTGTGACCGGCGACCGGACCGGCTCTGTACGGGCCCTGAAACCACCGGTGGTGGAGGAGGAGGAGGGTGGAGGGGGTCTTATTTCTCCAGCTCAGTGGGCTTGCAGCTGCAAGCGGCAGTGATTGTCTGTCCCCGTGCAGCCTTTGATGAGAAAAAAGCAAGCGGGTGTGTATAGTGCATCGCGCCGCGCCGCCTTACCGTTAAAGAACATCATTTTTGTGAAGGACTAGAGGGAGGGGAAGGGGGGGGGGGGGATTCAGGAGCTTTCTGCGAGGCTGATGAAGCCCACAGGACCTGCAGGTCCACCACAGGCGGACGTCACCTCGCTGCTCTTTCCAAGAAGACGCCTATTTGTGAATAGTGGCCTATTTGTAATGAAGGAAAACGAAAGGAAGAAGTAGGATCGTTGGCGTCCGGTGCAGAGAGATTACTTCGGTGCTGCTGAATAGCACCGTGGGTGAAAAGAGGTCTGCTGCCACTGCACCGGCTGGAGGAACCTGCTCCGAGGAGGCTTCCTGCAAAGCCCACACATCTCCTGCAAATCATACGGTAATAATAAAAGGGTGTTCCATCATGAGGCCCATTAGAAGTGAAGTGTTCGGCACAGTCCATCACACAGAATGACACTGATAAAAGGATGGGACGCTCTGTCGTGCATCGGCTCATATCGGGGGATCGGTCCATAAATCTCGGTGCGCAGCATTGAGGAGGATTACGCCGCGAATAAAAAGTACATTGTGGACGGATTGAAGACTCGTTTCATGGGTGTTTGGCATTATAATCAACGCTGGAGACACTGCAAATGAAAAAAAAAAAAAAAGGTGTTGTGAAGCTTACCTGATTTTCTGGTAACAGGTGGTGACGTCTTATTAGATCCCTTTGGTTTCCGATCCCTCGTGTGACGGGCTTGTTTTTTTTTCCTTCTTATTTTAATAAATGCAACGGTGGCTAAAACATCTCGGCGAAATCACAACGCATCCCCCGTGGCAGCGTCGCCCACACGGCGTCCCGGTTCCCCTGCAGCCTCCTCGGTGTGCGAGGAGAGACGCGCACGGCGCGGAAAACAACATTTGTCCGTATTTCCTGGGCAGCGGCGCGGCGGCTTCAGGGATTCCTCTCCGTCGACATCTCCGGCACCGGTTTCACAGCTCCGTGTGTCTCTCTCTCTCTCTCCCTCCCTCCACCTCTCTCTCTCTCTCTCCTCCACCCTCCCTCCCTCTCTCTCTCTCCCCCTCTCTCTCTCTCTGGCGCGCGTCGAGCTGCCAAAATGACCGAGGCTGAGAAATCGCATGCGGCGTGTGTTTTAACGCGCGCGTCGGTCGACTTGGTTCCATGAATATCACACGGCTCTACTTTATCTAAAAGCATTGCATGTATTCACTGGTGATGTGTCTCCCTACAAAATGACACCTGCGTGAAAGATGAAGGAAAGATGTCAAATGTACAAAAGGTGACTCCACATTTAAGGTGCGTGGACGTTGTTGCGACTTTCCTCAACCTAATTTCACTAAAAAGAGAAAAGCAGGGCTGAATATTCCAGCAGCCTTTGCACAGTCAGACACTCATGAATGACTCAGTTTGTGTTGTGAATGAACACACACACACACACACACACACAAGGTGGGCCTACGTGTGCGGTCACTGTTTGTTCCCCTTTGGGCCCTCGCGTGAGCAGCTGCCCCGGTTGACCAGGTGCACCTCATCGCCGTCATGGCGCCGGCCGAGGGGGTCTTGATTCCCCCCACACGACGCGAGCCGACTCCTCTGACGCGTCATCACTCCCACGACGACCCCCGGGGTCAGCAGCGCGGCCTCACCGGCGGCTCGCCGTCGAGAAAACTCGGGAGCGCGTGGCGAGCATTTTGGGCAGGAAAACCGAATGCACATCAAAGGCGCTCGGTTTGGTATTCTGCAGCGGCCCCTTCGGCCTTCGCGGCTTTTCCTTTGACTTTCAGCACGAGCTGCAGCTCCCCTCGGCGGGGGGGGGGGGGCCACACTGTTGCAAGCAGCATGCAATCAATCGGTGCTCGCCGCTTCAACGTAACATCGCGCTTTTGGGCCTCTCGCTCATGTGTCCGCCGTGCGAAGGATTATGGGAAAGAACAGCGTGGAAAGCATTTTGCCTCGCAAGCGGTAAATCCGCCGCGGCAGAGTGAACTGGTGGGTTTGACTCACTGTACTTGACACACTAAGTCTTGAGACATACTTAATCTCCAGCAGGCACAGCGTATTATAATAAACATGCAGTATTTAAGCCAGCGTGGTTTTCTGGTTTTTCTGACCCACGACCCTCAGCGCAGTTTATATATGAGCGAGAGGGTCAAAGTTCAAGGTCAATTGTGATAGCGAAGCAGCCACGGGGCTGCAGGATGGAGTACGGGCGGCTGTATGTGTTTTGGAACAGGATGCAGGTCTCTTATTCTGAAGGGGTTGCTATAAAAACCGCTCGGGGTTCTCGGCCATTCAAGCAGCATCCACATCACTGATGCGCGTTTTAGCTTATTATAAAACACCCACCCAAGCTTAAAGCATTGACAACAGGAACATGTACCAATGCACTATAATATGTTGCGTTGTGTTAAACACAATGTGAGTGTGATTACTTTCTTTTAGACTTTGAGAATAACAATGAGGTGTGAAGTTAATTTGCGAGTCTTAATTGGACTTAACAGGACTTGTTCCTGCAGCACTATTGAAGCAAAAGGTCAGTTTGTGGATGAGCTGCATGTAAAGTTCAGCTATTAGGAAATACATACAAACACAAAGGTTTTCACGTGCACATACATGCAGTGTCTTCCACATATGAGCATGTGGTTAAAAGTAATGAAAAGGCCTCTCAGGAGCGGCGGGGGCTGAATGCCGGAGACTCAAAGCCAGATAAGCTGGATTACATTAAATGAAAATAATGAGAAACGGGAAGGCAATTACAAAAAAGCAAATTAAGAAAAAGTGTCTCAGTCCAGTTGTTCATCAGTCGTCACTTTAATTGGGAAGTTAACAGTTAATTTCAGATTTTTTTTTTCCGAAAAGGAGATCATGAATGATGGATGATATGCAAAGTACGATCCCTCCAAAATCTCCTTTGACGAACGTCCCATGTACGTAGAGGAACACAGAACCACACAGAAGAAGATGAAGACGTCCAAAGCTGCCCGGAGACACCCGGCCGCCGCATCGAGAGGCAGGAAAAGCTGCTTGACCAGAAACAAAACCACAACCACATTGTGATTAAGCTCATCCGTGCCGGTGTTCCAATCTCAATTCCTTTTCAACTTCACACAGCTTTTCCTTTTCAGAAACAGCGGCGTGATTTCCACGGCTGTCAGAGGAGCAGCGTGCACGTGCTCCGGATGCTCCGGATGCTCCGGATGCGGCGGGCAGACCTGAAGCATGAAGCCTGCAGGAGGACTCGCCTTGCTTCTTCTTCCCCTCCTGGCCGCTGCTCTCTCCGCCTGCTCCCCGCGGATGCTGTTTCGGTTGCCGGGCGATGCCGATGTCACCGCATTATCTCTCACGGTGCACAATGTCTTCTGCTGGATCGCCACCAAAACGCCGGCACACATCCCACAGCCCGCTGGAGTGGGTGACCGTGAGGCCCGCCGGTTACTCTGCGTGCCAGATAACACCTCCCTTCATGAATCCGAGCGGGCACGAAGGGGGAAATATTCCCCATCTGCAATTATGTCTTCCAGATAAGATAAGCGGCTCACAATTAACTTAAGGCTCGGCCCAGACATGAGGTGCTTTTCATATCTGCTGACCCGGCACGATCAAACTGACGCTCTGGCCCTCGTTCTTTGTGGGTTTCTCTTTCTTCTGGTCACCTTTTAGATGCTAAACTCTTGCTGCCCCTGCCCGGAGGAACTAAGTTGAACACAAGGGGGCGTAGGCTGCTAAGTCTGCCTCCCGCCCGTCCAGTCCAGCAGCAGCAGCAGGGTAAAATTTGATCAGAACATCATGTCTGACCTTGAGAGGGAACCACTCTAAAATTTACATTTCAAGGAGGGCTGCCTTAGTGCGTTATTGGAGAGGAAATGTGTAGCTTTCTCCACACACACACACACTGACACACACACACAGCTGCATGAGGAAGGGCCGTCCTCCGCCGAGGCCTCGGAACGACAATGTGGACAACCGGTCCGGTTGTTGGCTAACATATCGATTCTATTCACGGCGTGGTGTGTGACGGCATCAAACCACATCTTCTGAGGAGCGACGCCAGTGTGTGCTCGTCATTATCGATGTAGCCGACGTCACAACATCTGGAAATATTCTTATGTCGTGATGCGACACACACATATATATATATATATATATATATACATAAATATAAATGGAAAGAGAAGGAGAGAGGGAGATGTTCTTGATTAGAAGTGCTGGTGTTGGTGGTTGTTTATCCAATTGAAAGAAATCTGCCAGGATAATCAGTACCTGGAGGGTTTGTAACGCGGTTTGTCACTGTGTGCAGTGATTACATTGGCAATGGCGTTTTAAACGAACTGGCAGAAGAAAAAACATGTCATAAAAAACAATACGTCATATTCACATGTATGACGGCGGTGACGATGCACTTGCGTCCCCTCAGTCTCTCAAAGCACCTGTCTGACAGTAACCCCGCCCCTCGGGGGAAGGTGTGTGTGTGTGTGTGTTGTTTAGCTGCGTGGTGGCGGCGCGTTTTAATTGGCTGCAGGGCCCGCGTGCACGTGGACGCGAGCCGGTGGCTCCGCCCACGCACCTGACGGGGGAGTATTTACGGCTCCGTGCGGCTCCCGCGCCGCACTGCTCGCACCATGACTCCCCACTGGACTTAAGCAGCCCGGAGCTCCGTCTTCTGCACGCCGCTTGTCTCCTTTTTCACACCCAAAGTTCGGCAAAAGTTCCCCCCCCTCCCCCCTCGTTTTTATTTCCAAGATGCCACGTTCGTTTCTGGTGAAGAAACACACCAACTCCGCAAGGAAGCCAAACTACAGCGAACTGGACAGCCCGACAGGTAAAGTGGACCCGTCCGACTTGTCTTGACTTTGGCAAACTTTTCCAACTTATCCCCGAACGCGTCCCTCGCAGACCGCTCACGCCTCCTCCCCCCCTCTCTCCCTCTCTCTCTCTCTCTCCCCCTGTCTCCCAGTGTTCCTCACGCCGCACATCTACCGGGGCCTCCCCCCGCCCGTCATCCCCGCGCCGGACACCCTGAGCCCGGCCGCCTACAGCCCCATCACGGTGTGGACCACCAGCAGCCTGCCGCTGTCCCCGCTGCCCAGCGACCTGTCCCCCATCCCCGGCTACCCGTCGTCGCTCTCCGACTCCTCGTCCAAGGACCACAGCGGCTCCGAGAGCCCGAGGAGCGACGAGGACGAGCGCGTGCCGCCCAAGCTGACGGACCCCCGCGGCGCGGAGGCGGAGAAGTTCCAGTGCGGCTTGTGCAGCAAGTCGTACTCCACCTACTCGGGACTGCTGAAGCACAAGCAGCTGCACTGGGACGCGCAGACGAGGAAATCCTTCAGCTGCAAATACTGCGAGAAGGAGTACGTGAGCCTGGGGGCTCTGAAGATGCACATCAGGACTCACACGCTGCCTTGCGTTTGCAAGATATGCGGCAAAGCTTTTTCCAGACCGTGGCTGCTGCAGGGACACATCAGGACGCACACCGGTGAGTGAATGGGCACCAGCAGGGGAGGGGGGGGGGGGGTCAGAACCTTTGGTACCACACTCACAGCTCGTGACTGGGCCGCACTCAGGCTGACACTGCAGTGAAACCTCTCAGGATGGGATCATATCCTGTGGGTTTACTTCTGCTTGAGTGTTGAATAGGAAAATAGAGCTTTTCTGAGGGGGGGGGGGGGGGGGGGTGTCATGTTACAATCAAAACACTGTGTTGCAACCAGCCCTTAAAATATTGGACCAGAAGGCCTCTGTAGGATTTCTATTCACGTGTCTGTAGGCAATCTGACAGTGTGTTTCTTTTTCCTCCTCTTCTTTTCTTCTCATTTACCCCCCCCCCCCCTCACCCTCACCCCCCCTCACCCCTCGACAGGAGAGAAGCCCTTCTCCTGCCCCCACTGCAACAGGGCTTTTGCGGACAGGTCCAATCTCAGGGCTCACCTACAGACCCATTCGGATGTGAAAAAATACCAATGCAAGAGCTGCTCCAAAACCTTCTCCAGGATGTCTCTTCTCCACAAGCACGAGGAGTCTGGCTGTTGTGCAGCACAATGAACTCGACTGGGATACTTTTACTTTTTCTCCACCGAGCCGGAAGAAAAAAAAAAGCAAAAAAAAAAAAAAAGAACACAAAAAACTCTTGTTGCTTCATTATTTTTTTTCTTCCCAGGAGAACCGTGAGGGAATCACAGCGAAGGGTGTTTGTTCCCGACTATGCAGACTTTTTTTTTTTTTTTTTTCAAGCAGTCCACATTTCATTTCAGAGTGAGAAATAGCTCTGAGCTCACGTGCTTCCTCTCCAGCAGCGACTCCGTGTCGAGCTCGTACTTACCTACCTGTGCTATTCATGCACTTTCCCCCCCCCCTGCATGTCTAGAGGCTTCTATGTGTCCTTACAATGTTATCTCCCAGGGTTCTGTATGATTACCCACGGCTGTCATGCAGTGCCTCCACTTTCTGTTTTCACGCGCACCACACAAACGATACCAAGCGGCGCATTATGAACGACAGTACGCGTATAAGGAATACCGAAGCCATTGTTACTAAGCGCAAACTTAGTTTTTAGGGTGAAATATTATTACTTTTTGCACAGTCATTAGAAGCAGTTTGCCAGCACTCAAACAGCAGAACAAACCTTCTCAAGTGCCTCAGTTTTCCTTGGCAATAATATGTATTATTCAACAGTTTCCTGTTATATTTTTATATATTGAATGTAAGCGTGACTGAGATGATTGTATATTTACAGTGAAAACTGTGCCGCTGAATGACTTTTTGATATTTTCATATTTTCATGACACTTTAAGAAATAAAGTTTCGTGACATTTTGTATAATTCTTTTGGCATCTTTCAAGTTGCTCTCTTCTATTTTTTTTTTTTTTTTTTTCCACACCTTTGGCAGCGCCGTGAGCCGCTCACTCATCAGCACTCGGCAGCGAATCTTTGATTGCCGAGCGCTTCCAAACGGAACAAGTTGCACAAAAGTAAATGATATTTAATCCAGCTTGCAACATCTCATGTTATGGAGATGCAAACACGGGGAGAGGTGACTCAGCTCGGAATCAGGCCTCAACCTGTTCCTTGTGAACCTGTCCAGACATCAAACAATCTTGAAATTTAACACATACTGGCTATATTGATCTGCACCCACTTGTTATGCCCTTTGAGGGCCCATGACTTTCTTTACCTCAGTGTGTGTAAAGTTTAAATAGGAGGGCGTCGGTCTTTTTAGAAAGTAATCCGAATCTCATGTCATCGACTCGGGGAAAAGTGTGGTTTTTTATTATTATTTTCTTATAAATCCTCCTGCTCAATCATAACAATCCCTGCGGGCGCGCGGGACGGTCCGATATCTAGATTCTAATATGTTTTCACAAAAAAAGCTCAAATTTGCATTTGCTTTGACAACCTCCTTGACTTTCTGGGACGCCTGCCATCAAGGACTGAATAGACGTCCTCGGGCGACGTTTTGTTGTCTTTTTGGCTTTTTGCTGTCTACTCGCAGCAGAGAGAGACTCACTGCGACGCCTCGAGGGCATCCAGTCAAAGCTGGCGTCTTTCTAACAGACCCCAGAGTGTCTCCCGCTTTGCCCCAATGCCCGAAAGCGACTGACCCTGCGTGGTGGGATCTGAAGAAACGGACTCTGGACGCCCCTGTAGGTGTAGCTCCTCCTCGCTGTGACTCATCCTCGGGCTATTCCAGGTGCTGCGAGTCGGGCCGGGTGGACTCCGGCGCTCGCCGGCGAGCTCTCTGGAGAATCGGGTGCAACCAGGAGGACGCAAACCCCACTCCACCCCCCCCACGGCCACAGGTCCACGCCGACGACGTGTGGAAACCTTCGGCCTGGCGTGCAAACACTATTCGGATCGTTCGCCCCGTAAAAGTAAAGCGCCATCGAGAGGGCACTTTACCCGTAGATGGTAAAGCCGTTTGCTCCAACATCTTTTATTTCATTGCACTTTAGAACGCTGACGTCACAGAGGAGAAGCAACGAATGCGTAATGACAATTAGCTCCACAATCGTGTGCGAGATCCTCTTTCATAACAACAATTAACTGCACGACAGAATCCTCCGATAACAGCAACGCGCTAAACGCTTCCCCCTCCAACATGAATATTTGATTTGGACACTGTGATAATGATGGGAGGAGAAGGAGCGAGAGCTAATTTGCTCTAAAGCATATGCCTATTAGAGGAGGTGTTAGAGAATGTGAGATCAAATATTTGTTAGGTGTGGGGACTGTTAATAGTCACACTGTTATATTTGACTTGGGGACCCTGCAGACAACAAAAGCAGGTGGAAAGCTTCTGGTTGTTTCTGCGAAATAATCTCTGGGCTGAAACACTGCGAAGATGAGATGAAACATTTGAGGACCCGAGTTTAAAATGTTTAGCATATCCAATGCAAGACGAAATGTCACTTTATCATTTTCGGTTTAAATCAAAGCAGCAACTAACAAGTGATTTCATTGTCAGCGAGAATGCTAATTATTTCCTCGGGTTAATTGATGTCAACACCCGTCACGCCTTCCACAGCCCCGAGGTGACGTTCAAATCTGACCATCAGTCGTAAACAAAAAGCAGTTTACTTCCAAATATGACAAAGAATTAGTGTGAAATGAATGCGATAGTTATGCATTTGATTGCTTCCCATCAAATAATTGTTTAATCAACACATGATTGTGTCGGTCCATCCTTGTTCTTCTTTCACCGGCATTACATCCTGCATTCACGTTACTCTCTTCTGTCATTGACGTTGTGTTGCGTGTGAAACATGCATCCCCTCCCTGCAGGGAAAGCGCTCGGGGGCATTTTTAAAATGCAGACCTGCCTCAGACTGCTGGCGGAGACCTGCTGACTTTACGGCGAATCAGGGAGTGCGATTTTCTTTCTTTACGGCCGTCAAGTGGAACAAATAAAGTTACGGGGCGCCCTCTGAGGTCTGATTGTCCTGGCCGGGAAGTGATCCCCAACCCCCCCTCCCCCCCCCACCCCCTCCCTCCTCCACCCCTCCTCCACCCACATCAGGAGGGAGGTGATTGTTTATTCCCCTTCACTCCGACAGCCCCGAGGAATCTGTTTCTTGTTTATTGAGCTCCCGCATCTTGTTAAAGACTCTTCACTTCTGTCGTCTCCTCCAGCTATTCAGGGTGGCACTGCTTCTTCACCTGGAGGTGCGTATAGTCCCTCCAGATGATGCAGTTTGCCTCTAATTGCGCGGCGTCCTTTGCATCGGCGCTCAAATGTGTTGATAAATTGGATCGGGGGGGAGGGGCGGATCCAGCGAGCGTGATTTAATCACTGGATTCCTCTGAAGCTCTGCTGCTGTCTCATGGCCCTTATGTGTTTATCTCATTAAAAGTAAAATGGTTCGACGCCGAGGGGAGGAGAAGTAAATTATGTTTTAGTAAGGAAAAAAAAACAAGTGCACAGGGAAAAGGCCGCGGAGCCTCGCGTGCAGGTCAGGGAGGACTTTTGGTTGCGCGCGTGATTCCGAGCACCGAAGTGAGGAGTCCGGCGCAGACAGACCCGGCCGTGTTGTCCTAATCAATGGCTCCGCGGCCTCTTCTTTCTGTTGGCCTGCTCGTCGAGCAGAGGTCAGCTGTCAAAGGATCCTGTGATCATATTTACGTGATTGTATTTCCTCCTTAATGTTCAACCCGCAAAACCCCATGACAGCAGCCGTGAAGGATCCGCTCTGTTAACAACGCGGCCCTTTGTGACCCCCGACGGTTTGACCCGCTGACAGTTGCCTTTTGTTTTCACTCAAACAGTTTTATTCAATAAAAAAAGCATTTATAAGCAGTATATAAACAATTAAGGGATTGAAGCACAGAGAGACTGTGGAGGGAGACGGTTGAGAGAGGAAACCAACTCAGGGTCAATTTCCTGTTTTGGTGTCACGTGGATTTCGCCTCCCTCTGCCCTGTTAGGAGACTCTTAATTGGGAGAAATGAATGAGTACACTGATTATATCCCGATATTTTGCTCCATATTCATGCAACTAAAACAGTCGGGGCCGATTTTAACAAGTCGCGCTTCAAATTGAAGGTAAAATGTGATTTTCAAACAAACAAATGAACGCTGTTTGAGACCTTTATCTGTCTCAGCAACGCACTTATACAACCGGACACGTAAGTGACATTAAATGTGTCTGTTAGCTGTGTGTGAATATTTAATGTGGACCAACTGCAGCATAAATACACCATCAGCATCCTGGATGACCGGCGACACTCTGCTAAGCTAGTTAGCGTCAGCAGGAGTTTGGCTGGATTTTATTCTCATTTCTACATCGCAGTTGGACGACGTACAGGAATAACCAACAGGTAACAGCCCGATTCGGTGACATATCAGATTGGTTTATGTCAAAGACTCGTGCTGCTACATCACACTGAAACACCCTGAAAGGAAGAAACGGAAGCATCCAAATCTATTTATAAACTAAACCCACCAGTTAATGATTTGTTCTCCATGTCCTTAAACACTGATCTGTTCATGCTTCATTTTATGAAATGTCCTTTTGTCTGCTTATACGTGCATTTTGTTGCTGTACTGAGAAACCTGTTTCTTTAATCCTTTTCATAAAACTGTGAGGAATTACGCTTCGGTTCGGTCCTCTTTGCTGCGGCGGCGGATGTAAATGTTGCGGTCGCAGGCTGGAACGAAGTGAAGTGAAGATTATTTGCCCAGATAATTATGTTTGTTGCTGCTGATTTACATCTCTGTGATGGAAATTCCAAAGTGCACTGCAGGAATGTACCGATGTTTCTGCGTGACGGAATCAAAAAGACCCTCAAATCCCCGAAATGTCTTTTCCTATTTGAATTCTTGCATAAAAACACGCGAGATGACCCGTGCTACGCGCATGTACAGATCTTTAAAAAGGTCGGCAGCAAGATGTGATCCAATCAGATTTCTCCTTCAACGCGCTGCTCTCTGGTCCGGTCCACCTCAAAAGAGAACATCTGGGTGGCATCAGAGTTTTTAAAGTAAAGTTCTGCCGGCGTCCTCTGAATGGCTGTCATGTCCACGGCGGCGCGGGAGGGTTTAACGTGAAGCCACTGTCACGCTTGGTGGGGAGAACCTGCTTTTAATTTGAATAATAATCATGGCATTCTTTGAAAGGTGGATCCAGCAAATTGCTCATTTTTAATCCCTTTAGACCTCGGAGCTGCCTTTGACACCGTTGATCAGCCAATTAAAGATGGAACGGCGTTAAGCGCCGGGTGTTATTAGCCGCCCTGCGCCTCGCCGGTTCATCTGCTCCCCACCTAATCAGAAACTTTTATTTCACCGGTGGAATCTGCTCTTTCTCGTGAGCAAACACCAACGTGGAGTCCCTCAGGGCTCTAGTTTGGAGCCGTCCCATTTGACACGTAGCCTCTCCCCCCCCCACGCCCCCCGGGGGGTGGCATCACCTGTAAACACAATGCTTTGTAAACACCAGGCTTAATGTTGTCACTACGGCTGTGATTTGGAGATAATCTTTCTGTTAAATCCTGATGTATCTCCAGCATCCATTAACAGCCGTGTTACACTTAAATACTCCCCCCCCCCCCGCTTCTCCTGCAACATCACAAGGTCCACATTTATGGTTCGGAGTGAAATGTTGAGATAACAATTGGGTGGATTGACATGTAATTTAGCATTTGGCCCCCTGGGGAGGAATTATAAGAATGAACTACCAGACATTTTGCCACATTAAGTAACAGTAAGCATCATATCTGTTCATGTGAGCATGTTAGCATGATTTCCTTACATTTAGCGTGGGGCTCCAGTGAACCTCTATGAAGCTGCTGATGTATTCTTGATTTTGAAACAACACATGTGGAGT